TGTGTGTGTGTGTGTTTATGTGTTTGTGTGTGTGGAGTGTGTGTGTGTGTGTGTGTGTGCGCGCTAGTCTTTCAAATATCCTTTCAGATGTCGCGCAGATCAAAGTCTATCACTGTCTGTTTCCATCTGTATCCAAACTTAGGCCCATATCCATATATCTATATCTAGATGCTGTGCGGGTGTCAGTGGTCTGTGCCTTCGATCTTCGGTTGACACCTGCCTCTGCAAGTACGACGATTTTTGCACGGGCCAGGGTGTCGACTGTCAACCCGTCACGCAGGTGCATTCAATGCAAGGAGTCGGTGAACGAGTCGCTGCTGGATTTTGTGGGTCCTGTTCGGGAGAGTGTGATGCCTAGTCAATCGAAGGAAGTCTTGGCTTTGTATTCACATGCCGATGGGTTGGGCCGCTTCTCTTCACATTTTCACTCCGCCTCTGCTGGCACCCAGAACCCTGAGATTCCTCAGAAGTCATGTGCGCCGCTAAGCTCAGCAAGATCTCGATTGTAGTTCATGCTGCACAAACTAGTTAAATAGTTTGTGGCATGATGAGGTTCGAAGCTGGGCTTTCAGCTGCAGGCCGACATGCGCGGGTTCAGTCCAGATTTCCAAAACACATAAGTCGAAACTGATTTGTTGATTACATGCTCTGTGCATGAGACGACAGTCAATCTCGGCAGAGAAGGTGCGCTAGCTGTTCTTTCATTAAGTATCGCAGCACCGCCCTCCAAGCAGCAGTTGCATCCTTTGAGCTGGTGCTTGGCAGGTTTCAAGTTAAGGTATAAAGAGTTTATGAAGTCCGTGCAAGATGTACAGGAAGCATTTGCAGCTTGGAGGTTCTTATTGATTAAGGCCTGAGTTCTGCTGCAGACGGTTTGCACGGTATCCTTGTTGGTCGCAAAAGAAGCAGTGACTGCAACCTGCTAGGCTTCAGCAGCCTGATTCCACATGAGTCAAAACGAAACCTCAGATCTGAGTTACCTTGCCCGGCTCAAGCTCCGGACTCACAGCCAAAGCCGCCCTGAAGGCAGCGGAGCAGCTCTTGCGTTTCTTGGACAGCGCAGAGGACTTCCAGGCTTGTTCTGGCTTGCATGGCTTAACGACCAGAGAAACGGTTGGGTGGTGAAAACAGAAAGCAGAAGCCTGCCAAAAGGGTACAAACTGATAGCGAGTGATGGCGATGGCGATAAGCAATAATTACGAGCTGCATCATTATTTCTGGATGATTGGTGCTGCTACAGTAGTGGTGTTTGGAATCTATTTGCGGCGATAATCTTGAGTACCACACTGTAGACTTGTAGACGTTGGGAGCAAGTTCTGAAGTTGATGTTGCCGAGTGTGAAGCTTTCGGATACAGGTCTTGGGGACACCCTGCCGTTTCTGTGACTATGTAGGGAGCGTGCTGGGTGACCGTCTCAGTTGAAACCACTTTCAGCAAACTTCCCCCGCGGCAGGCGAGGGAAGTCAGTGTCCTACTCCGATCACTGCAGCTTACCCGGACACAGGAGCCGCCAGGTTTGTTTGTACAAGTCACACACGGGGAGAAGCCGACCTCGAATTTGAAGGCACTCGCTGGTGCTGTTGTTCCCTCTGCACTCCGAGGACCGCCTCCCTTGGTGGCTAGATGTTCGAGCATGCCGGCGCCGAGCTCACAGGTCGGAGTTCCGAGAGCACATAAGAAGTGGTATCTTGTGTTCGGTTTTGTTCGGCTCTGGATATGGGAGGTGCCGAAGATAGGTCGTCAGTCTTTTCTCTAGCCATGATTCACTAAACTGTTCCTGCTTATGCTATGGGGCTATTGTTTGCCAGCATATCGCTATCGCGAGTTGTGAGATTTAAGTCTGGCTCTGTTCCGTGTACAGGCACTGGCAGCGCCTGGCAGTATCGAAAATCTTCTTGCAGACGGACGAGTTCGAAGACTGGGCTACCAAGGTGCATTGGCTTAGCAGATCTCTTCAAGACTCCCGTCGTCGCAGGAAGCTGCAGAATCAGAAACGCGGCCGAGAGAGCCCAACCCACCGCACGTCCCATGATGTGGTTTACGGCTTACGGTCGAAACAGCACCCTTCTCATAAATGTGGTGAGGAGTTGAGCGTCAACAAGCGAGCCCTACACGTTAAGGCGTCACCACGCAAAGAGGAGGCGTCTCGTGGCATGTCGATGCGCTGCAGGCCCTTCTTCTACGGCTTCGCTGGACGTTGGCAGCGCAGCGGCTTTGGCCCAGCGATGCCTTTCGCTTCATGGACACCCATCAACAGCTTTTCTAAAATCAAGATTTTTGCCAGGCGATCTTTGGGCATAAAACATGCATCAGTGCCGATACACGTTCACAGTGGGGTGTTTTGGACATCCGACTCGACTTTCGGCAATGACTGCAGTCCGGAAGTCCGGGGAAGAGCCACGGAGTTGTTGTTGTCGTCTTGGATATGTCAACTTCCAAGAATGTCGTCAGGAGCTTACCATACTTTGGTATTGGGTGCACCGGTGCATCGACGGTCTCTCATTCTGAACCGAACAACAACTGCCGAATCAGACGTATTCACCACTAGAGCTGCGTTTGCCCGATCATCCTGAGAATCCCTCTACATGCGCCGGCATTCGTCAGCTAGCTGCGTTGCGCAGGGTTTCGCATGTTTTGGCAGATAATACTGGTAGGATTGCTTGGCAGTCTCAGCAATCTCCGACAGGACACGGCGAACAACGGCTGCCTCCAGAGACGAGATCTGTCTGCAGGTGCCAATGCCAGACATGCTGGGATCATGTTGCCGTTGATTGTGTTCCTGCCGCCGTTAACGCGGAGAGCAGGACTCCTCCATCCGGGGTATGCAGCGACTCCAACCGCTCAGGGGGTCGTGAATCTGTTGAATTGCTGGTCAAAACTGCTCGACTCAGAGTCCACTACGTCAGCGGTCCTTACTTGCACCCCGGAGTTGTGACGTCTGCGCTTTGCCAGGCCTTGAGAGCCTGGGGGCCAGGAGCCTGGGAGCCCCCGGGAGGACTTCTGAGCTCTGCGCCCCCAAAGCTTCCCCGAGGTTCGAAGCGAGGGGCTCCATGACGCTCGCTGGACACAGCAAGTTGCAAACTTGCGGGGGTCCGAGATCTTATGGGAGTTGGTGGCGACGCGTCCGTCCTGTCGCCTGTCGCCTGAGCAGATTCTGGACGGCAGGATGCTAACTAAACCTGTGCATCGGCAGAGTCGGCAGGCTCCTGCCATTGAAGCCTAGTCCCGTGGAACGACTGCTGCTCAGTCAGGTTCCGCTGGATTGCGCAAGAGGGGCGAGAGGTGGGACCTCGGCTTCTCTATTTAAGACTACAGCACTCGGCTCCAACAGTCTCCAGTCTAGTGTCAGCACGACAGCTTGACGTAACATCTGTCGCCTGCCTTCGTTCTGCCTTTGAGTTGCCCCAGCATTTGACTCATGTTGTTACGAAGTTTATCATGGCACGATTTCTTGTGAAAAGGTCCTCTTTCTGGAAGACTTCCGCGCTGCCCTGGAGCTACATGACACAACTCTAGAGGCAAAGCCCTTAGCTGTGCTGCAGGCTAATCAGGTCCTGTTGTCGATCCTTTGCCAGGGTCACCAAAGCTTCTCGGCCGCAGCTTCCCCAGCCTCGCGAGCCTCTCCAGCCTCGCTGCGCGGGTCCCACGGGTCCCCTGGGTCAGGGCCTGAGGCCCTGAATTAAGCGAAGGCGACAGCTGAAGTCTTCTCTTAGCGGAGAATGAGAAGAAAGGTCAGAGGCGAAGGAGACTGCATGCACAAAGCCGCCGCGACAGGCCAGGAGCAAGCGTTGTGTACTGTACAGTCATAGTGAGTCATAGTCATAAAGTCATAAGCATGGCAGAGGTATGGACCCAATCGCACGCCGATTTTGCATCTGCAGGCGGACGCTGCAACTCCTCCAGCCCCGATGTCGGAGTCAGGGAAAAGTGCAGCGGGTGAAGAAGGCGGAGTCGGCAACGCTTTGTTTCGATCTTGGGCTCAGCTTTGTCGTGAGATGCCGCCCGTCCTGGTGCTCCCAAAAAGACGGTCGAGGAAAGAGCCGGGGCCTTACGGCCTTACCTCAACTCACTGCGGTCCAGCTTTCAACAGCTTGCTCTGGGCCCATTTTCCTGAAGGTGAAGCGTTCAGTCGGGGTTCGGTGTAACAGATACGAAAGAGAGTGCCTTCGCGTGTTAGAGTAGGGCCGAGTGGAGTCAGTAGCATGCTTCATAGCTATCGGCCATGCGGATGACAGCCTACAGTCTGTCTACTGTCTGAGTCGATAATAATCTGTCCTCTCAACCCTCACTCAAGCCCTCAGGTAAGTTGAATTTTCTGCTTCTCCTGCAAGCCAATCATGTGCAGCTCTCTGGAGCAGAGCCGCTCCTTCGGCAGGACTATCCGGCTTCACCGGCTGCGGCATCACCCTTGACAAGGACGGAGATGTCAAGAACCACCTCACGGGGGTCACTGCTGATTGGCTTGTTCCCGCACAATCCCACACACTAGGACTAGACTAGGGTGTACTAGTAGCAGAGCAAAGTGTTCGCATGGAGTGTTGAACACCTCGCATCCGCAATCCAATCCCGGACACGTCGCAGCAGGCCGCGCACGCCGAGCTGCTCTCCGGAGGGCAGTGCAGCTCCCTCGGAATTTCATAAAAACTGGAGGTTGCCAGCTGCAGTTACAACGGTGAAACAGACTGCATCTCTCGCGGATGTTGCTACTTGATCTTGGACGAATGCAGATGACTTCGCACAACAAGTCTGATGTTTTCTCGTCGGCAGACGAGATTCAAGGTTTCTCGACTCTCTCCGGACATGTGTCGGCAGCTGTCAGTGTTTGCCTGAGATTCCTGGCCCGTTCAGCTACCCGGTATCTGCTGCTCTGCTGGGCAGCACTGACTACGTAGCCGCATGCAGCATGCAAATCGCACGCCCCGCACATCACTGCCTCGATCAAATGCACGGTCCGAAACGCGAAGCGTAACGGCAAGGCTGGTCGTTTCAAGCACAAGTGGCAGAAGCACTCCGCGTGGGTGCCTCAGATCTCGGAAGTTCAGGGATGGCTCAATGCAGGCTTGGGTTTCAGGGCAGTCAGTTTCAGATCCGTGGACTGTAAGTCCCGTGAGCCTGCCATGAGGGCCAGCTGATGTAAATCAGCAGGTCGCTGGTAGCTACGGTTTTACAAGTCAGCATCGGGGGTCACCACAGCACGGCAGGTTCCACCCTGTGTGGTTCGCCAACGATATGGGCGCCAAGCCTTCTCTTGCGATTTGGGCAGCTGTTGAGTGGGGGCCTCAGCTCGAGTTACACCTTGTGCATAGGACATGGCAAATGGTTAAGGCTTAAGGATGCTGCCCAATGTTGCAGGAACGCCCTCGCTTGCTTTGGTTCCAGCTCTCCCGAGGCTAGTTCCACGCGGAAAGTTTCTGGGCGTGAAGCGAGGCCGGTAACGGCACTCCTTCAGAGATTGCTGCTGGTTGTGTCACCCGCAGGCTCCCACGCAGTCAAAGAGAGGCTTGCGTTTGGACACTACGCTCGGCCCATGGAAGTAGCCGTTAGCAAATTGCCAGATGCGAAATTTGCGATTCAAGAAACTCAGGTCAGCATGAGCCCTTCACCGCCTGTGACGGAAGTCTTGGAGGCCCTTCAGCAAGATCTTGTCAGAGCATCCGAGTCCATGTCCTAATTTGCAGCAAGTGCAGCATTTAATTTCATTGGCAGCGACTAGGACGAGTGCTGCCTGCCTGAGGATGAATGGAGTTTTGCATGAGTAAGGAGACGGCATCAGGCCGTCAGATGGGGACTCAAATACAAAGCCGGAGAAGTGCCTGGCCGTGACCTACTCAAAAGAGTGTCCAAACGCGATGACTTGGAGCAGCTCCACCCACGTGGATCATCAGGCTTCTTGTTGTTTGTTCCTTCTCGTGCGTCGTGTGTGTATGCATGTATGTTTTTGGGTGTCCCGCTGTGCAGCCGCGGAAGGGGGTGGGCGGTAGTTGGGTGGCTTTCTTCTCGTCTCTTCATCTTTGAGCTGTCTCCCTGTTCGTCCACCTGGCGCATGTTTGTGCGCGTTCGAGTTCGGGTTTTTTGGTAGGTTCGAATTCGATTCCCTTGAGCTGAAGTTCTCGATGTGTTTGTATCGGAGGATCGCTTAAGACTTAGCAGCTAAGTGTCAGTCAGAGATCCTTTTCCAGCTTTGGTTTTGGGGTTCTCCTCCTCGGAGTTTGGACGACAAGGCGAATTAATGACGTGCAGTTGCTATCCGTCTCGTGCAGATCACGGATGAGCAGTACAGTGGCTTCTTTGCGAAGCATCCGCGGGACTGGGCATGGGGCTTGCTGTCGTTACTCGTATAGAGTATAGGCCCTCTGGAAGATTCTCGCATGCTACCTGACAAGACACCAGCAAGCCTGTGGCATACTGCACGAGAGTCCACAGATGATCCCTTCAATTTCTGGAACTGCTGCGTATCGAGACTGCGATTGTTATCATCTTTCCGACATTCACCCGCTGCAATTTGCTATTATCAGGAACCCTTCAGGTAGCTGACGGTAGCTGCAGGGTAATCTATGTTGTACAGGTACGTGGTAAGATTGGGACGAAGCTTCCTAAGCTTGGGAGGGCACCCCTGCTCCCACCAAGCTGTTGAATCGAAGGACGAACTCAACCGTTTCCTGGATACTTACTTTCCACATCCGATTCGCTTCCGGCAAGTTTGGTGCTCATCTCAGGTTGTTGTGCACAGAAAATAGGAGACTGTGCGCAATCTACAGCCCGCAAGGTCTTTCAAGCATGTAGGCTTTGTTTGGCATATCAGCATGTCGTGGGTGCCTGGTCCACGCCAGCGGCTTTGGACATCCGCAGCACGAGAATGCAAGCTTTGGTGTGCATGGTTCTTGTTTCGTACAGCCGAACAGGTGACTCGTTCGAGGGTTGGAGGGTCGGCAGGAAGGCCGGCAGTCAGATATCTCGCATGTCAAAACTCTGCGCTTCTCAGGCACTTGAGAGAGTCGGCACTGAAGTCTGTGTGGCTTGGCCAAAGCAGGGCGTCTGACATTCGGGGATGGTCTGTCTTCGTACTTGTGCATTGAGATCTTTATGAGCTTTAAGAGCTGCATGCCATCCAGTTTGTAGCAGTCTGCTCCCAGAAGTTCAAAGGTACATGTGGGCGCCGGTGCCCCCATCACCGGACTTCACAGCATGCGGTATGCTGTGCACGACCGATGACGAGGACTGCAAACACATGTGCTCGAGAGAAGCATGTGTTTGAAAAGTCTTTTGAGCCATTTTTTCGGGATTACTGGCTGTGCTTGTAGATGTTCTCGCAGGCTCCGGCGCTACAAGAAGTGCGCTGCCTTCCAAGGCGGTGGTTGCTCTGGAGAGAGATGGATGGAGAGAGGGGAAAATACGAGAGGAAAGGTCTATATAGTATAGGCCTAGGCGTGCTCGTTACAGGTTTGTCTCTGCAGTAGGGCCTTCAAGCGTGTGAAATCCTTGTATCCAGGGCGCTTTTGCACGTGTCATCAGGGGTTCCTCGCCTTACATCTTTGGCGTTTTGGCCGTGAGGAAGAAGAGCGAGAGAGAGAGAGCACGATGCCTCGCTTTGCAAGCGGGCTGAGAGCGAAAGAAGCAGAGGGCGAGGCCTCCACCACACTGCTGCCAAGGACACGAGGCTTATCGAGGCTTTATATGTCCGTAGTTGGGTAGAATGTCTTGAAGTCCAACACGAAGCCGCGACTCCATGTTCGGACCTGCCGGATTTGGCTCAAGTTCCAGTCCCGTAGCCTCGTGCCCAAGCAAAGGAGCAAGAGGGTAAGTATGCAGTGCAGCAATACCTTCCTGAAAAGCTCATGTGTAATGCTTTGGTCTACATCAGTTATATGAAGAATGTGGCGTTGTTAACACTGAGTCTTTACAGCAAACCGTTAACCAGCATCATGAGTACTGGTGCGTGCGCACACATGCAAAGACTGTAGCTTCTTTTTAGCATTTGCATGCGGCTGTCAAGCTTCAGGCGCACTGCAATTGGTCACGCCAGAAGGGCTGTAGGGATTCAGGCTTGTACAGGCGCCATCCAACGTCCTCGGACGAAGGCCGCATGCCGCGCTTTACACGGCTGCGGACACTGTGCGGTGTATGCGCACTCATACTGACGCTCGCCTGATGCAGGTCACTGGCTGCCTTCTTGGGGTAAACTCCTAGAGTCCTAGACTCCTAGACTTCCCGAGGTTGCTTCTGGGCTCTGGCCTTCATTTGCATACGCAGCCTATGCTGGTAGTTGTTGCGAGATTTGGTGGTAATTACGGAGCAATCGGGACAGGCTGGTTGTAGTTCAGGTCGCTTTGCCTTTGGCTTGTGCTTCTCAAAGCTGTGCATGGAAGATGTTCCGTATGCACCTCCCTGCACACGCGCCGTAGCTACCACAACGTCGTCGTCTATGCACCGCACTCTGACGATCCTGAGAGGGAGGCAGGAGAGAGATAGAGACAGAGGCAGAAAATACTCGTCGACACTCCTGGCTGTGCTGAAGAAGAGACAGGAGTACAGCCACCTTCGGAACAGTGTGATCGTGTTGGAGTCCTGCTGTTCTGCTTGCATGCTGAACTTAACTGGCCTCGGCGGCTGAAACCACTGGAAGGCAATGCCGTTGTACCTCAATCCAGGGCGATCGCGCTCATGTATGCGCTTGCTGTGATCACAGTGTTGTCATGTCAAGTTGTCCATTCATTGTCATGGTGTTGTACTTAGGTGCGTGAAGCCTTTTTGCACGAATTGAGCCGCTTTGCCCTCGCTCCTGCCGTCGCAACCTTGCCAACGGAGGAATGCCCTTCATGTGAAGCAGTGAAGCACCCGGACCCCCACAAGCATGACAAGCAGCCATCCGAGCACACCTTCAAGCTGACAAAGAGCCTTCTCCCTGGCGGGGGGCGGGGGGCTCCTCGGCCTGCGGGCCCCTAGAAAGAGAGGGAACCCCTTCGTCCTTCACTGCCGGTGTCTCGTACAAGCTTCAAACCTCAGCCAAGGCCGGCCTGGGCAGTCCTGAGCTTTGTTCCACTTTCTCAGCTGCACAGCCTCCGTGGTGCATCGGAGAGCTCTACGCTGCGGCGGGTGCCACGGACTGCACGTGCGACTTGTGGAATGCTGGAGTTTGCTGGAGCAAGAATCAGGAGATACAAGTATGTTTGAGATCATGACCGGCCTTTTGCTTGAATCTTGCACGAGGCCATGGCAAGTGATGAAGTGCTGCCAGAGGCGGATTCTCTTGACTGGAGGCCTGCATGCGAAGACAGATATCCAAGTAACTCAGCAAAGAAGCATGACGCAAATTTATTTGCATATTCGGTAAGCACCGACACAAGTCCAGGCAGCCCACCCCACCCCACCGATAGAGCAAAGAAAAGACTTCAATTATTCCCCGGGATGCCGTTGCATCATGGAAAGGGCGTAGCGGCACCAACCAGCTTCGACATGCAAGCGCACGTGTTGAGGATTTCAGGATGGCGAGGTTCCGGACAGCCTCAATTCGAAGAACTTGTCCAAAACCTTGTGAAGGCAGTTCCGTGCACGGCTCATCGAACGTGAGACGTCAGAAGTGCTTCTGGATGACTCTGATGCCAGCGCTGTGGAGCCTCGCCTTCCTTGGAAGTACGTAGCCTTTGCGAGCATAAATCATGGCATCACACCCATGGTTGTTGAAAGCGACATGTCTGGAGTCTAGGTCCAGGTTCATGTGCAGCAGTTCATGCCCACCGGCACCCAGGAGCATCAGGATACCTGGATGCACCGCAGCCCACTCGTCGAGAAGGGATCCGTGCTCGTGGCCAAGCCTGGCTTCTGGTCGCTGGACTGCCCTTGTTTCCACAAGGTGGGTCGCAACTGCGGACCTGTTAAGAGCTGGCTTTCCGGGGACCATGCGGCAACTGAGAGTTGGGTGTCCAGATCGTGCTGGCCCGGCAACCTAATCCGGGAGGCCTGCAGGTTGCAAGCGCCCTGCGAGCCGTAGAGCCTACTTGGCATGCCATTTTCTGTGCATGGCCTCCTGCGCTTGTATATGTAACAGAATCCCGGCACGTGAGAAACATGGGCTTGACCGGCATCCTTTGCGCTTTTTGCTTTGTTTTTTCCGTGGAGAGGCAGTTATCCTCATCACGGAGCATGGAGAAGACTATGACATGGGCTCGCTGGCTGCAGCGTCTTTATTGATGTGACTAATCTCCTGAAGACTTCAGAGTCTGAAGTGGGGCTTCCGGGATTGCCTCGACTGCGTTGCAAGACCCTGTGCTTGCCGTGCTTGCAATTGTGCAGCTTTGGTACTCACAGCGCCTTCTCTGGAACCAGAGGCCATGGCAAGCCCAAGTAGGGAGCTTTGAGAGTCTTTTTTATTTCATCATGTCTTTTCTAGTTTGCGCTCAGGCTTCGTCCTCAATCGTCCGACCACACGTGTGGAAACCTTTGGCCGCTTGGAATTCACTGTCTGGTATGGCGGGCCGTGCCAAAGTCTGGACCATGACGAAAGCTGCTCGGCGCGCACGGAGCACTGTGGGAATATTTGGAACAGGATCTCTGTCCCTCTCTGCTCTCTCTTGCACGTCGGCGGTCAGACGGAGAGCACTTCCTTCTGTTGATGAGCGGGGGCGCCTAACACTGTTCCTTGACCAAGCGGTTTCAACATGTGCAACAGACCCCCTCCTCCCCCCTTTCATGTACCGTGCCACCCCACCTTTGCTGTCATGTGTCAACACGAGTCCTGGAAGTGTTCTGCTTCCGGGTTGTCGAGCAGTTGCAGGAAAGGCATGTGTCTGGAGGGTCATGCTACGCCCCGTGGCTTTGGAACTCTCTTTCGCACTGCATGGCCGGGGTCTTCAATGAGGTGATCAGTGGAAGTTTTGCCTCCACATGCGTCCAGACATCCCTGGGGCCGAGCCGATAGCTCAGGCAGCGCTATCCTGATCTGCAGAGCAGAAACCTTCAATATCTCGGTAAATCGGGTGAATTGAATGCTTTAGTAAGGTCGTGCACTTTGGCCACTTTGGTCCTTATAATTAATTTCTAAAGGTGAAATATGTTCAGAATCGCGAAAGCTCAAGCCCCACTGTCCGTGTGTTTGAAACTGCGGACAGCCGAGCTAACACTTTGATTGGACGGGACTGGGATTCACCATGGTATTTCTCAAGTCAAATAACTGTTGAATTACTCTATGAGACTCATTGCATAAGAGTGTCTGAGTCAATGATTTGCAACTTGCATGGGGAACATGCTGTTTCTGGCAGGGCATTTACATGAGCGAGCCCTGGGCAGCGGCGGGTTACATCCTCGAGTCTGACGGCAAGGTGATTCATAGCTTCCTGAGTGAGCGGCTGGTGCACTTTGCTGTTTCCTCGTTGTTCGGGCACTGCTTCGCGTTAGGTCAAGGCCCCGTTGACCGTGCTTGTCGGCTCATTTGAGCAGGCAGAGCCTTCACTGGTCACTGGTAACCCCCTTTATCCTTGAGCTATGCATGTAGTGTGGCAAAGCTCAGCTAGCTAGGTAGCTTGGCGTGCTCATCAAACCACCCAAGCCAGGAAGCCGCAAACCGGCTGCCAGTTCTCAGAACCAAAGCTTCGTGAAACCGTGTGAAGCCATTCGTCAACACAGCCCCAAAGTAGAACGTCAAAAGCGCGGCAAAGTGGTCAGGCCTCCGAGGAGGACTTCATGCTGCCGCTTGTTTGATGTGGCTGATCAGGGCACAGATTGCAAGCAGTAGCAAGCAATGCTTCGCATGGTAATTAGCACGCGGCATCATGTGATTCAGAGTCGTTGGTGATCTGTGGTCTAGAGTTTATTCAGGCTCCAGGGTCGTGACCGCTGTTGATCGTAGGTTGGTTGGTCACTGCGGTTGGGGCCCCGGCCAGCTCGAAGCGGAGCTCGCGGAGGCCTTTGCTTGAAAGGAATCACAGGAGGTGAGGGCCGTCTCAATCTTACATCACCGAAGATGGACAAAGCAAGGCATGAACACAATCGTGTTTCACAGGTCTTCGCTTTGGCAGTACAGGGCATCCTGCAGTAGCGTTCTGCCCCGAGAGTCTCCATGACGCGGAAGGGCGACACCTGGTTGCTAGCTGCCGCCGACACAAAGGCCTCCGAGGGATCCATGATCTGAGTTGAATTCAGTTTTCTGTCATTGTTGGTGGTACGTTGAGGTGTTGGATTTCTAGAGCTGGCCAGTTGGATTCGGATGGAGGGCCCATCCTGCTGCGCCTTCAAAGATACAGTATGCAAAGTCAGCAAAATCAATGTTGATGTATCTTCTGTTGCTTCTCAGGAAGCAGCCCCGTATCGAGATATAAGGATCCCGCATGACACCTTTTATCGACATCTCAGCCGGCAGGCCTTGTTGAGCTCTCGCACGCAGAAGGCTCTGAGGCGTCTGCCATATTTGCCTTGGTCTGCGGTGCTCGATCTTCTGAAAAGAACATAGAGAACCCCGTGAAACTCATTTCGAGTGGGCTTGGGGGGAGCCTTCAAGATATGGAGTGACATGCTAGCATATATCCTCGCGTCGCGCACGTAGTGCACCGAGCACACCTGAAGCTTCTGGGTCGATGATTGCCCAGATTTCAGATCAACCATGGCCTGAGTTTGACCCCAGTTCCAGCACGGATCGAGGCGAAAGCCTTTCGTCCTTGGGCGAGGGCTTCCACTATGGCGGAGGCATGTCGGAAATCATTCCATGCACTCCTAGAAATCTGGGAACTGCACGTAGATTTCAAGAGTTCTGGGGCAGCAAGGTGAGGGAGTTGTCGAGCACGCGTTGCTTCGGGCTGGAAACTGGCATTGTCCCACCAGGCTTTACCGACGATTGGTACTGCAACAGGAAGTGCAGGAAGGACGCATCATCGAGAGGCACGGCAGCCTTTTGCAAACAGTCATGTCGGCAAAGGTAGAGATTTGTCCCACGTTTCTAGACGCCGTATGGAACAGTACGGGCACAGATTTTCATTGACAATATGCAGGACCTACGAAGAGCTCCATTTTCTGTAAACGACTGAGCCTCTCTCCAACACGCAGGTATGGTGACGAGGCGCTGTTGCGCTTCGTGCAGGACGAATTAGATGCTGCACCCCAACCACCTACTACAAGGAGCCGACAGCCATTGCGGGTTTCACGCACTGTGGGGACCTGTGAGGTGTGTCCATGTGGATTTTTCAGGGCATTCTGCATGCAGGAGTCGCAGTGCAGTCTTCGGTAACGGGGTTCTGCATGATGCCTTGCCTCTCTCGCTGAGTCCATAGCCAGGCAAGGTAGAAGGAAACCGTGCCAGATAGTCAGACAGTGCTGCTAATACACTGGTTGAATTTGGTCTCAGCCGGAAGATGCCTGCACGACCTCTGAATACGAAGGCGGCGAAAGGAGAAGAGCGACTTTTTCAGAGATTTCCTCGGACGAGGTCCAGATGCTGAGGACGCGAACACGAAAAGCATCGCGAAGCAGGCTAGGGCTAGGCTTATGAGACCATGAAGTCTCTACAGATATCGAGCGTATTTAGAGGGGTACTCGTACAAGAAGCGTGGGATTCGAGTCGCTGCTGCCATATTCGAGCAGAGAAGAACAGCCGAAACTAGCAGCGGGGCAACAAAGGCTGCGCACTCTTGCAGGTGCTGAGCCTCATGGCATCCGCGCGCGCACCCGAAGTGGCGGAGAACGGCTGCGAAGCTTTGAGGAACCTTGTGGTGGACGAGGAGACCAGGCTCCTCAGCAAGCTGGTGTAGAGTGTATAAGTGTTGTACATTGATGAAGCTGTGGAAGTGTGAGCAAAAAGAGAACAAGCAATTCGCCTAAAGAGATCGGTTCTTCTAATCAAGATTTCTGGCATCTCCGGGGTGACAGGCGAGGATATTTTTGTTATTTTTACACCGAGTGATGATTTGCGGGGCCTTCAACACAGAGTCTTGGAACCAATGCACAGCTTGCAGGCGTGCCTATGTCTACAGGACGGCATCAAGGAGAATCAGCAATCCTAAAACCCAAACCTTTTCCCTACAGAAGGGCAAATTTCTTCCTGCCAATGCTCGGCAAACCAACCGCGAGAACCCTGCCTTGAGTTTGATCTAGCAGTTGCGGAAGCCAGCACACAGAGGGTGTGGATCTTGCCGCAAAGGTCGTTGGTGTCCGGGCTTGGAGCGATTGACATGGTCATGGACGTGCCTGGGTCATACCAACCGAGTGTTGAAGTCTTTTGAAATGAGACTTTCAGAGGACCGAAGCAAGACCGTGAAGCTTGAAAGATTGTACTCACCTGCGGTACGCCCGCAACTTTTTTGACTTGGACGGCTGTCATCCGCTGTATGATTCAGAAGTGCTCACACTCGCGGCCACGACCCATGCATTAGGACAGGGTTCTCGTGGTATGTGAGCTCTTGTTGCAACGGAAAGTCTCAGGTGATGCAGAGCCACAGTGACTCCTCTGGTGTTCAAGGCCCACGGGACTTAACGGGTCAGCATAATTAATATGTGCACTCAGGTGCTCAGGCTTGGAAAACCCTTCCCTGAATCACCGAAGCACTCGATCGGAGGTCATTGCGCCGGTACTTTGACCCACCTCGCTGCGGGATCTGCCGAGCGCCAGGCCTTCTGGGGCCAGGAGTCGGGAGTCAGGATGTTTTCGAGACTCGCGAGAGAGCCTTCACCGACCTTCGCTTAGGCAGCCGTGCAGCACTTATCATCATTGTCGTATCTGGTGGTCTACTTTCGCGGATAAGGGCCTCAGGGGGGCTTTCAGCCTGGTAGACTCAATCTATCAATGGCAACAGGTCAAGGGTCCTCATGAGATGGGAAACTTTGGCGGCATTTCCATGTGCCTTTATCGCAGAGCCCTTGGCAGGCCATCTTCCATCGACGTGGCCCGGAACTGGTGCCTCTGTCGGCACAGCATGTTTCAACAGAACGTGTACTGCAGGTGTATCAACCGCTTCTCATCCTTGTTCTCGCAGCCTTCTACCTTAGTTGCTGAAGTTTCGAGATTTCAGGCATTGCCTGACCCATGCATTGTTTTTGCGACCCAGGTGGTCAAAGCCATGCGAAAACACAGAGATGTACCCCTGGTGCAATGGAAGGCTCGCCGCTCTCAGCGCCGTGTATCGCCGACACTGGTTGAACTTGTAGAGATCAAGCACGATGTCCCACCCAGCAGGATGTTGAGGGCAATTTTCTGGCGGTGGAGAATTTAGGTCTAATCCGCCGTGATTATGTTAGACTCAAACCTGAACAACACATCTGTCATGTTGAGATGCTGCTGTGGGTGGAACTGCAAACGGCTGCTTTGCTGATGGATGCTCGTTCACCGAAAGATTTGGAAGAGATGTCTTTTTTTAGGCAATTTCGTCTGAGAGAGGTCAAGTGACACTTCCTGGGTCACGGTGAACTATTTAATATGACCGAAGCAGCAGGTGTACTCGTAAGATATAGAAACATGAACGCAAACAAGCAACTAAGCGAAAGTAGTTCAAGAACGTATAGGTACATACGTACATACATGTTTAGGTGTGTGTGTGTGTGTGTGCATATATATATATATATGCACATACGCACAGATATATATATATATATATGAGTGGTTGTGCACATCACTGAAATCATCTATATACCTTCACCCATATGTATGCATGGATGGATGAATGGATGGATGGATGGATGCACACTTACTTACATTGACATACATACAATAGATAGGTACATACATACACGGAATGGTAGACTCCGGCCAAGCTAAAACCGGATACAATTGACACTAAAGCGTCCAGCCGCGTGAACCTCTGCTCACAGGGCTGCGCAGTCCTAGCCAACCTGGCAGCTTCCACAGTGGAGCAGTCCAGTGGCTGCACTGTGAGGTTTTTGGCGCTCCACTTTGTTCGGGATGCTCAGCCTTCGGAGTTCAAGCTCTGGGACTGACGTTGCGGAATAGGTGTTGAAGCCTGGCATTACACTGGCCATGCGAGCCGGAGTGGGAACTGATGCTCTCCCACTCGTACTTGACCTCCTCATCGTGGCAATCGAAATTTTTGCTGTACTGTGCTGAACCCCCACCGCTACACACCGAACGCCTTTGAGAGGATTCGCGTGGCTACTGCTGGTGCTGCCGGAGCAGTGGTACAGGGCTCCGTGGCCGAACATTGAGATCGCACTACCTGCAGACACTCGAGCGCCAGAGCAAGTGGACCGCATGGCTCGGGCGTCAGATCTTACTACGTAGCAGGTTGCAGACGGCGCAGGCTGGCAGGTTGTGTTGGAGTTGTCGCAGGCAGAATGTTACCAGTGTGTGCTCAACACGCTTGGAGGAGGGAATATTGCACCGTTTGTATGCTTCCGAGGCATGGCGAATCACGAGGACGAGCCGCTGAGCACATGAAAGCCAGGGGGAAAACAAGCAAGGCAATGAAGGTGGAGGCGAATCCTTTCGGAATGACAAACCCAAGCGGATGGTAGAGTACGCTATGACTCTTTGTGTTTCTCGAAGCAGTTGAATGGTGTCGATGAACATGAGAAACCTTCCTGCATTCTTTGGCCTGCCAACTAAGGCGGCTGGTCCAGGACTATTGCATCGGTGCTCTCTACAATCTGGCTAGGGTCAATGCAAACATGTAGCTTGGTATCCTAAAGACTGACTGTGAGTGATGTGGAGGGCTTGAGAGAGTTGCATGACACCAAGTTGGACTATGGTACGGAGCTTGCAGTTGCCATTGAGAGGTTGGAATGAAATCAGACATCATTGGTTGTGCAGCCGCCCCCCCCCCCCACCCCCTCAACATGTTGCTCTCACGCGCCAAGGAACGAGCTTGCGAGAGCCGGCAGCGCCAAAGTTGTGCGTACCGCGCTGCTCAAGCATCCTGATGCTCCGACCGTGCAAAAGGTCGGGGCAGAGTTGGCCCAATCCTTAGAACATGACTCCTGACACTTGACACTGCGGCAGCCGCTGCTTGGATAAAGCGCGAGGGAGTACAAGCGCACATCAAGCGCACTTGTAAATAGAGAGTGAGGCGCAGAAACTTCGCTTCATCAGAAACAAAGTTTGCCTTTCAATGTACGGATGAATCCCTGGACCCGTCCCTGCTTTGCGTTGACGAGTTGTGCAGGAAAGGGAAAAAGCTGTGCTTCGTTTTTGCGGCTGTCGCCTTGAGCAACTGCCGACGGGCGGCCGAAAGAACCCTGACCCTACGAGTTGGCAAGAAGAAGTTCTGAGATCATGTGTTGTTCCTGGGTCGAAAACTTCAGACTGGCCCGGCCTCACGATTTTCAGCTTCAGTCATGGTCATGCTGGACGTTAAGGATCATGGGCTTCATGCGCGTTATTCGCCCGCGCGATCCCACCACATCCATCTAAGTGGCACCACGTATTGTACAAATACTAGCTTCACATACGATATACCCGGATGTTTTGCCTGGTTGGCCCTGCACGAGGGCCCATTGCAATAAAGATCTACCGGCAGGGTTTGGGCCGAGAGGATCCCCGCGCGTGCCGGACAGGCCTCCGAACGTTCGGGAAGCTTTGGGCCGAGTGTGATTTCTGTTCTGCGTCAGGCGGTGCTTTGTCTCTAGGGATCTTATGCGTTTTTCCAGGGAGCTGTGTGGACAAAATGCATCCCGAAACTAGAAATATCGAGGTTGTCGCGACATGGCGGGTCCGGCTCCGGTAGAACACCTGAGCAGAAGACAGTTCTTTGGTTATGCAAACCCATGTCTGCAACAGCACAGTTTCAACAATCCCGCTTCAGCATCCTGTCAAGACTTGATCCAGCAGACATTTACGAATTGCAAGCGGAGGTTTGGTCGGCTGTGGGCCCTCTCCCGAGCTGGTAATCCAGAGCTCGTGCATGAAGCCGCGAAGACCTGTTCAGAGTGGAATCCAATGTCTCAGTCTTAAGCGGTTTGCTTTCCTGACTACGGTTGTGTGATTTGTGGTTCTGTGCAGGACGTGAGAGCACAGTTCGTCAGCGGTGTTTCGTCCCCTCCGCTTCCGGATGCCATCAATGTCGGATGTTTGCACCACCATCCCCAACAGAAAGCCTGAGGTGAGGAAGGTTTGGCAGCTTCGGCTTGGCTGCCAGGCAGGAACCTCGAACAGTAAGTCCTGCTCGGGAGAACTGCGAGATTGCTTCGACAGACCCGTCATTCTTCCGAACGTTCGCGCCCAGGCGGAGAGCTCACAGGCTTCCTGCAGCTTTCGACTGGGGCGGCTGTGGAGGTGGGCGTGGTGGGCCTGACTGCCGACGTTCAACCGTTCAGCATTTCCTCAGGCCCTCGGCTTGACAGCATAGAAGGCCCACATCATACTGTGGCATGTCATAGCATGAAGGCTGAGGAAAGCAGTGCGGGAGCTCAATCCTCGCTTTCGCTCGGAGGTCGCACCGGAGATGCAGCGCATGCAGCAACGCCACAAGAAGCAGCAGTTCTCAGCTCGCTCGGTCTGTTTTGCGGTGTCTTTTCTTGCTGGTTTAGCTTGAGAGATTTGTGGTTGTTCCCAGAATCACGGTACCACTCCGAGCGTGCTTCTGTCTCCTCGTAGTGCTATCAATCTACAGTAATGCTTGAAGTCAAGAAAGCATATGGTGGTGCTACGTACAGTAATAGACATGCTGGTTGGCTGATCCTGCTAGGCCCTGCTAGGTGACCGAGCTTTACTTGTAATACAGGATTCCGACAAGCACGAGCCAACTCCGGACAAAGAAGCGCTCCAACCATCCAGCACCTCAGATTCTACGTCTCGCTGTCGCAGCCCCGGCTGCTGGATGGTCGGCAGGGTTCAGTTGCAGGCATGACCAAAGATGTTGTTTCAGAGATAGAGCAGTCTGGGGCGCGGCGAGGCATACGTGTCTCTCTCTTGCTGTTTACTCCTGCAGGAGATGCGGGTCCCTAGGCGAAGTTTGGTCCGCCCAGTTTGGACGTGGGGACGCTGGGCTAACATCAACGAATGTTTGCGCATCTTTCAGCACTTAGTAGCACGGGGTCAACGGATGGCCGTTGGCCGTGTTCCTGTGAACGGAGATATTCACGCCTCAACACGCTTACCCCGGCCGGAACATTCGATACATGTCTTTGAGGCTTCTGTCGTGTCTTTTGCGGCCATTTCGCCTCGAGAACTGCCAGCGCTGCGGAGCAGCCCGTGCAGCAATCCTGCCGCATGCTGAACGGTGTAGCTGATGTAGCTGTAGCTGCACTCTTTAAAGGTCTAAGTCTTGTCAACGATTGTGTTATCAGTGTTGGGAAGGCCCACACCCTGAAAGGCTAGCAGCTACTGTAGCACTCATTCGTTCTGCCTCGTGACACAGTAGAAGCTGAGCCTCTGACACTGATCAGTGGCACGTGGATGGCACGAAGCTCCACCGCGAGTGACGCCGCCCTTCATTTGCCAGGGCTTTCAACCGCGAATGCGGCCTCTTGGCCTGTGCAGGGCGGTGGCATGGTTTTGTATTTGGGTTTGAGCATCGCAAGTTCGCAGCCGGCACTGCAAACATGCACCAGCATGGGCGTTTCTCTGGTGTTCTACTGCAAACATGTGCTGTGCAATACATTAGACTTTACAGGTCAGGTGCTAGCCTAGCAACATTGTCTTGGAGCCTGGCTCGGCTTTGGCTGTTGCAGTCGCAGCTTCAAACTTATTTGCATTTGCACTGTCGGAAAAATTGTGGTTGCATGTGTTTCATGGCCTACACGCTTGTTGGCAGTCCACATCTGTTGATAATGTACCGCTTCCAATGCTGACCCCCATTCGCAATTCCATCGGTTGCATGGGGTGCCCTTGAGTTGCTTGGGATCCAGCATCGAACTTGACGAGATTGCTGCAGAGACCACACGAACGGCTGCGCAGAGGTCCCGGTGAAGTCACAAAGCACGAGCCCGTCGAAAAGCAAAGACACGCCGCGCAGCAAAGATCGGTCACAGAGCAAAGACCGGCCAGGCAGGGCCGCATCGAATTTCCAGTCTTAAAGTTCATGGCCCTGAACTCTGCGGATTCTAGCTTCCAGGGTCTCATGGTTCAGGGAAACCGCTGGTGATTCGAATTGAGATGCGCAATCCGGTGGCACTGAGTATTGCATGGCATGGACTACCTACTAGTTTTAATTATAGTTGCTAGGTGGAAAGTACAGTTCGGTTGCCATGGCTTTTTTGTCGTTGGGTTGCAGGCAAGCGTATTGCTGCAGCACCCACTCTCTGCTCAGTTTGCATTGCATTGCACTTTTGCGAGGCACTTCTCAGACGCAGACAAGCAGCGGTCCGAGCCGACACTCCTCGTTGCGGTCTAGCGGGCTTCTTGGACCGTTGCAACTCCGAAATTGAAACTGTTTGGCGGGAGCCGGGAGCACTATCGAATGGGGACTCAATGCCTCAAAGGATTGAAGCAAAAACGCAATTCATTTCAGCACCACCGTTTGTGCCCCTGATTGAAGTACGTCAAGAGAACCCCGCCGCTCGCCAAGTTTCTCCCGGGATCAGCGGGAACCGAGAAGATGAGCCCAGAAAGCCAAAAGAGCCCAGAAGTTTTGTCAAGCCCAAGGAAAGCCTTCCCAAGCCCTGCAGCTGCTTGTATCAGCAGCTGACATGAGCCAAAGACCGACGGACCTCACTCTGGGCCTTTCCGAACCGTTGGAGACTAAGGGCAATTGCAGGAACAACTTACATCCAACATTCGACAAGCCAGCCTGAGCCCACACCTGGCCGATCTTTTTGGGAATGGCAGAGCCCTCGATGAGCTCTACCCTTGCTGCTGCATGCGATTGCTGTTTGCGTTAACAGGCATGTCCGTCGCTGTTGCTCTCCTGACTTTGCGCAAATTTCTTGTTGCTCACCCCCACGGTTCCGATGCCTGCAGAAGTGAAGGAGCGCGGGGCCGTCGAGGCTGAGGAGCGGAGTCTAGTCACTCCAATCCAATCCAAAACGTACACAAAACTCCCAAGCAGCATGAAAACGTGCAACCCTCAGCAAAACTCTTGGTTGTTGCTGTTGGAAAACCGCTTGGATGCAGGCCCGGTCCTTTCCATGGAAATTCTGCTATCCCGAGCCTGCAAGGATAGGTCGGTGTGTTTCAGCTGGTGCGTCATAGGCTCGACAGGCAGGCGATGAGTTTACGGCGAACTGACTGGCTTGTCCGGAAACCTTCCCATCCGAGGCTCGATACAAGTCGTCGAAGTCTCTCGGCTTGGACGTGACCGGCTGTAGGCAACGACGGGTTAGCTCCCCGCATCTTTGAGGTTTGTGGTAGCATTCAACCCACGAATTTTGAAGGAATGCCGGCAACTGAACAATAAACCTACTTTGAAAGCCCTTTTGTTCGAGGTCCGCGGCTGAAGCTAACATGCCCAGACACTTGGCTGCTGTGAATTTTGGCTAGTTCAATCTATGCGCATACGGTATTGCTTCCCGGACATGGGGCAGGGCTGGCCTGTGCAATCACGAGGCTCACAAGTGAGTTCGGTGTTGATGCACCTAGTCCCTTTCATTGTGGTGTTCGTCTGTTCGTTTGACTTGTATTGATGCGCTCGTTCTACGTATGCTCGTCGAGCTGCCGCTTGTCTGACATGAATGTTGCGGCAGTGTCAAACAGGCAGCCGTTTCACATGCAGTTTCGATCGTCGATCAGTATGCTAGCCAAGTCGAGCATTTGCGGTGAGTTCCCGAAGTCTCGCCAGGTAAAGCTGCCCAGCCTTGCCACGTCGGGGGGAAGAGACTTTTCGCCCTGTGACTGCAACTACTTTACAGTTTTGTGGCGTTAAGTGGAATGGAGAGCCTTTTCGGTCACGATCAGAATCTCTCTCCTTCAAGTCCCTATACATCAGACATCATCAGACCTTACTGCGCATGCTCTTGTTCTGAGATGCTGCACACCTCGACCGTTCTGAGGGTTTTGCAAAGCTCGTCGACCCCGAGGGCTTGCAGATTCAAGAGTTGGATTCAAGAAGCTAGGCTTGTTGTTCGAGGGTCGCCCTCGGCCACGAAGCCCTCGAAAGCTGGTGAAACTGATCCGGCCTGTTCCCAGGCCCCGACCGCCACCAGTCAGCCGACAAGGCTCTCTCAAGGAGCGAGGATGCTTCAATCTTTGCAGATTAACCTGTTTTCTGTGATAGCGGATGCATCGGGCAGTTTTGGCGGTGATCCCTGCTAGGAGTCTCAGTCCAGACAGACGCAGCTCAGCTGAAAGAGACAGCGTGTTTAGGCACGGTGGGGTTTGCGCTCGGAGGACCCGTTAGTCACATCCCGCCATCGCCTAAGGACCAGGCAGGTTTCCGGCCCACTGCCATCGCCCGATGAGGGTTTCGCCGGTTTAGAAAATGAGATGAGACCGCCATCTGACAAAGGGTTCCAGAAACGTGTCACAGGTTGTGCACAACCCGCCGGCGCGCAAGGAGGGGGCGGTAAGAAAATTGGATCAACCGCCATAGCCTATAAGGGTTCTGAAGGAACATGACCAGCCGCGGCGGGATTGGGAGACCAACGGACGGCGCGACAAGCGTCATAGTACTCGAACCGAGCATTTAACCGTCGTTGTGCTTCGCATGCTTTTGTCAGGACGGTGCATACAAGCCGCTGTTGGCTTGGACGGAGCAAGGCAAAAGGGTGTAGCGACGCCGTCGCTTGTGATTTCACCGCTGTCAGATTCTTCTGGTAGCGGAGCCTGATTCGATCCAGGGGCGGCGCTGCGACGCCGGGTGCTGCTGGGCTGCTCTGCGAGGCGGCCACTTTGAGGTGATCCGGGGTGCGATCCGGGACATTGCGAACTGTGACACTTTGGGTGTGGCCGCCTGCGAGCGGCAGGAGCCTGGGCGGCTTGTAGCCAAGGCTTTGCTTCGTGAAGACAACGATGCGGTCCTACTATGAGACCTTCGGCGAGGTGACGGCAGGACTCGATGATTCAATGGGTGAGTCGGAAGAGTCTAGTGATTGGGCTGCTGGGGCTCGGAAATGGAAGAGCCCAAACGGAGGCACTGGAGGTCTCTCGAGTGATCGGGACACTGCTAAGGAGACCAGCGATGAGGAGTCGAGATGGTGGCCCAGGCCAAGGCGAAGGTGATGGAGAACTGGAGAACCGTGCGCTGACCGGGGCCTACGCGATGTATCCGAGCCTCAGCAATGCCTGGAGCTACGAGCTGGCGATGAACACCACGGCAGCTTTTGCAAGCAGGATGAGGACGTTCTTGTGGAAGAAGTTGTTGTGGCAGCTGAGGGCGAAGAGAGCCGTGGAGGCCGAGGGCGACCGGAGGTGGAAACGCAGCCCGAGGTGGTTGAGCCACCTCTTTGCCAAGGAGATCGGCGCTGTCTGGGGTCACTTCGGATCGATGAGACAGAAATTGAACAATCCCGAAGTTTGGCACCTCATGTAAAAGAGCACCGCCCCAACCGAGGCCTCACCCAGAAGACAGGGCCATGAGGCAGTGGCGGCGGTGAGGCAGGCAAGCTCCCGGTTGATGGAGCTGTTTACGGTTGTGAGCGTGCTCTCCGCCTGTGCTTGTGAGCGTCCTGGCTGGCGGGTGCTGGAGTGGCAATCGGTGGCTCGAGGCCGCGATCTTCGACAACCAGGCCCTGCCAAGGACTTGGTGGACTTTGTGCGCCGCGAGAAGCCGGTCCTGCTGGTGATGATGCCGCCGAGCCAACTATGGTCGTCCTGGACACGCTGTCGCCTGGAGGACTCCATCAGCTTTTATGGGAGGCTCGTCGCCAGGAGCTGGGCCTTTGGCGTCTGTGCGGGGAACTCTGGAAGGCCCAGGTGGAGGGAGGCCGGTTGGTCCTTCTGATGCAACCGGTTGCTTGGAGCTCACCTACATGAAGGCGAGTGACGAGGTGTGTCGGGCTACGGTTTGCATGTGTGCTTTTGGCCTCCGGGACCCGGAGACTGGCAAGCCCTACAACCTGAAGGCCATCGCACAAGCCGGAGCACCAGCCGATTCGGGGGACCGTGACTGTCGATGGCAAGGTGCTGGAGCTCTCGAGGCTGGCGATCGTCTGGCGGGCCGCCTGGGGTCAGAACGTTTTGGAAGAGAGTGAAAACGGATGGGAGAAAGGGGCGAGTGCCAGCGGGCCTTGGTCGCTGTCCCACGAGACTTTTGGCTGCATGTGAAAGGCGACTCCGGTGTCGAATTCGTCGTTGCCTGAGGAGCACTTGCGGGACGAGCTGGCCAAGCAGTCAATGACCGGGGAGAGGTACGACTACATTCTCTTCCGGGGCAGACTTGCAGCAGCCCCGCCGCCTTCGAAGCATGGTGGCCCACTTGCACGTCACCATGGGGCACCTGAGCAATGAGCGCTTGGCTCGGATGCTCTCCTTGATCGGCGCAGCTGAGGGTGTCGTCGGTTTGGCGCGGGGTCTTCTGTGCCAGGTGTGTGCGATGGTCCGACCGCCCCAGGCGCAACCGCAGGTGGCTTACCACAAGCCCAAGGCTTTCAACGAAAGGCTTTCGGGCGATTCGTTCTACATCTGGGACAGTGTGGGGAAGAAGTTTGCGGTTACACACTTCATCGATGGCCTGACCGACTACCACATCGGTGACCTGACCGACAACCCCGACAGCACGTTTGCCCGGGAGGTGCTCCAGGATATGTGGTATAATTAGCGTGTTTGGGCCGCCCGACATGCTGATCACGGACGGGGGGCCGGAGTTCGCCGGGTCAGTCCAGGCGATGAACGATTTGTTCTCTGTGGTGCACGAGGTGGTGCCAGAAGGCGCCAAGTGGCGCATGGACATGCCGAACGCCACGGGGCCATGGTGAAGGGCCTCGGGTTGAATGGTGTGGCCGAAATGCGGCGGGCGGCCTTCTCAGCCTTTGCAGCAAAGAATCGGACGCTGAACAAAGGGGGCGTTTCGCCCATTATGCAGGCTGCGACCGGCCGCAACAACATGGTGCCGGGATCCTTGATGGAGCAGCTGGCCAGTGGGAGGATGCGCTTCAGGTACAACGAGGCCGCGACCACCAAGGAGGCAGTGGCCCGAGCGGAACGCATACGCATTGGCGCGCTGGAGGCCTTTCACTGGTTGGATGCCAGTGACGCTTTGCGGCGAGCTCTGGCTGCCAAGTCCCGACCGCCACAGATGGAGGGCTTGCGAGAAGGGGCGGTGGTTTATCTCTACGAGCCCCCGGCCTCCCGCAAAGGGTTTGGCCAGGCGGATGCAGGATCATGCCAGCTGGGTTGGACCTGGCATTGTGGTGTGCGTGGAGAGGGACAAGCCTGTCCCGCAGCGAGTCTGGGTGCGCCTACGTGGACGTGTGAAGGCCTACCCGCTGGAGAAGATCCGCCTTGCAACACGACGGAGGAGATGGTCAGTGCCGACTACGTCAACCAGGCCCTGACCGAGGTCACGAAGGAGCTCGAGGGCGGTCAGCTGAAGGTCGAGGAAGCCCACCCCGAGCCCGAGGATGCCTCTCGTGCTAAAGAGGCTGACTCAACCTCCTCGAGCTCAAGGGCGAGACCGCCGAGGACCAGCGCGAGCGAGAGGAGCGGTAAGCTCCTGGACGACGTGCCGTTCGCCCTGAAGCGCACAATTGCTGAGAGACAGCAGGAGGCCACCGCCGGGACCATGGAGCCGCATGCGTTGGACTTTGCGAAGAAGCAGAAGTTGTTTGAGTCTTTGGCCAACTCCTTCGAGCCTCCGACCACGTTGCAGGAGGCTGAGCTACGCAAGCAGATGGAGGACTCTTACCTCCATGTGAAGAAGGTTCGGAAGGCAATCCTGGCCAAGCCGAAGGGCCGGGCGGGACGAACACGTGGACCTCGCACTCAAGGGCGACAAGCGGAGCAGCTCACGGCGGCGTTGACCCAGGAGCCCAACCAAATGATGGTGACCGCGGAAGTTGATTTGCCGGAGGCCTACTTCAAGCCAGGGGAGCTGACGGCGATCATCAACGACACGGTCGGGCAGTGGAAGTTGTGGGCGTCGCCTTCCCCCATGCGGAGGTGAATGAGCTGCAGCAGGTGAGCGCTTGCATGATTGCGGCAGAGATGGACGGCGTGACGGAGGTGACCACCGGGAAGGCGCGGATCGAGTATAAGTGGTCCAACTTGACCACGGAGTGGAAGGAGGCCTACGTTCAGAGCCGCTGAAGAAGGCCGTGGACGTCTACTTGGACCACAATGGGATCCGCGGCGTGCCGCTGGGGCAAGTGGTGGACCCCGCTCGGGTGCTGTCCTCGCGATTCGTGTTGACCAACAAAGGCGGGCCCCCAGCTCACCGAAGCAGAGCTGAAGGCTAGGTGGATCTTCGGCGGTCACAAGGATCCGGACGCCGGCCTCTATCCGACTTCGTCGCCTACGGCAAGTGTGCTGGGCCACAACTTGCTCAACTTTGTGGCGGTGCAGAAGGGCTGGACTGTGCACTACGAGGATGTCTCCTCGGCTTTTCTTCAAGGCAAGGACCTGCCCTGCACCGAGAAGATCTTCGTGAAGGTGCCCGCCGGCTACCCTCCCGAGGTCCTGGGCGCAAACATGCGCAGCGATCTGGTCGAGTTGACCAAGGCAGGGTTTGGCCTGCCGGAGAGCCCACGTCTGTGGTACCTGGAGTACCGTGACACCATCCAAGGCTTGGGTCTTCGGGAGCTGGTTCTGGTGCCAGGTTTGTTCCGGTTCAACGAGAAGGGCGAGCTCAAGGCGATGGCCAGCATCCACGTGGACGATACGCGCTTTGCTGGCGATGACTCCAGTGAGGTGATCTGGACCAAACTGCACGAGGCTCTCAAGTTTGGGAAGCTGCGGAAGGCCACGGAAGGCTGGCAAAAGTTTTGTGGGCGCTGGGAACGACAGTGTCCCCGGACCAAGGAGATGGAGTACTCCATGACCGAGTACACACGTGGCATCCCAATGCCCAAGGTTCCAAGCCGTGGGCCCTCGGAGTCGTCAGCGAGATCCACGAGTACACCTACCACCAGGCCGTCGGAGTCACCATCGAGATCCGCAAGTACACCTACCACTGGGCCATCGGAGTCGTCAGCGAGATCCGCAAGGTCACCTACCACTGGGTCGTCGGAGTCGCCAGCGAGACCTGTCAGTACTTCGCTGGAGTCTGGGGGTGACGAGGTCATCAGACTCTTGGAGGAGCGCATCAACCAGGCTGAGGTCGTCGACGAGCTTACTGAAGGTGATCGCAAGCTGATTGGGTCGATCGTTGGCCAGTTGAACTGGGCTGCCCGTCAAAGCCGCTACGACCTGTGCTACGTAGCTTCCCTGGTGCAGCAGCTGGCGGGCAGGGGCCGTCTGGATGCGCTACGATGGCTGGCCCAAGGTGTTTGGCGCTCTCAAGAGGACGTGGTGAGCCGTGTGCCCAATTTGGGCTGCCCGCTGGAGGACCTCCTTGTCTTATCTGTGAGCGATGCAGCTTTTGGTGCTATGCCCGGGGGCGGTAGCCAAGGGGGCATCTTGATCATGCTAGCCTCGCCAGCCGTTTTGGAAGGCAAGGCTCCGGTTTGCATCCTGGAGGGCACCAGCAATAAGATCCACCGGGTCGTGAGGTGTTCTATGTCTGCAGAGGTCTCCAGCCTGGCCACGGCCTTCGAACACGGGGACTATGTGAGGGCCGTGTTTTGCGAACTGGTCGACTCTCGCTTCGACATCTCTCGATGGAAGGTGTGCGCCTCCAAGTGGAAGCACATCCTCATTACGGATGCTCGCACGGGCTATGACGCACTCAGTGCTGAGACACTCCCGTCTGATCGGAAGATTGCGATCGATGTGGGCGTGTTGCGTCAAGGTCTGCTCAACGAGGACGACAACAACTTGGTTCGCTGGGTGCCGGGATCGCATATGCTATGCGACGGCTTGACGAAGTGGGGCCACAACAAGGTGCTGACGGACCTGATGGTGAACGGTCAGTGGTCGCTGATCGACACCCCGGAGGCACAAGAGCTACGACGGTTAGCAGCTGCCAAACGCGCTGTTTGGCGAAAGGCCCAAAAGCAAGGCCAGTGATCTTTTAATGCGAAAGCAGCAACAGACGGGACCAGTGGGGTCTTGACTCGAACCGAGCATTTAACCGTCGTTGTGCTTCGCATGCTTTTGTCAGGACGGTGCATACAAGTGTATGCCGAAGCCGCTGTTGGCTTGAACGGAGCAAGGCAAAAGGGTGTAGCGACGCCGTCGCTTGTGATTTCACCGCTGTCAGATTCTTCTATAGTGTGGCCCTGCTATGATTTGCTGGCATGAGCGGTTTGAATGCATCCCCCGAAATTTGAAGGCGCGGCCTCAAATCGTGGGCGAGAGCCAGGGTTCGTTTGTGCCAGCCCACATCCGAAGATTTATTGAAGGCAACCCGAAACGGAGGCTAGAGAAATAACAATTTCAATGAACTCGGCCTCGTCCCTGCGGTGCGACATTGTTCAGCTGGACGGGTGGCCAAAAAATCTCGGCCTCGCCAAGGACTACAAACACAATGCGACTTCAAGTCGAAGAGCCACAGGCTGCAGGGCAAGAGAGAGCAACAACACCCAAAAACGAACCAGCAAATCCTAAATTGAGTCTTGCGCCCTTCGTTTATCTCGCGGATTCTCGCGGTTGTGTTGGTGTAGCGTCCCGATATGCCTGCATGCAGCGGGCACGAGGGACCCCAAGTCACACGCTTTGTTCGCAGAGCTCGGTATAGCGATAAAGCGGGACCAAGAGAACAAACATCCTCCATATGCTGGTACTGTTGCTTGACATACTGCTAGCAACCTTCACTAAACTCTTTATTTCCAAGAGCCCTTGTGTCAACCTCCATCATTTTGCACCAAAACCAGGCAGGTGTCTTGGCGAGGATTTGGTCGAATAGCACCAAAGGCCCACAAAATCCGCACCTGCAGGCATCTTGATTTAGCAAATTTAGCAGTTACAGCCTTAAGCAGTTTTGAGGACATTGTACAATATTTCTCGAGCGGGTGCAGCTCAATTTATTCTCAGATTCTCAGTCCTTGCCCTACGGAAACTTGCCGCTATAGCGTCGGCCTTTGTTGGATTTTGTGGGTGAAATATGAATGCAACAAGAAAACAATGCAAATGCAGATGTATGTGGAAAAATGCAAGTACATACATATGTACAATTAAATACATGTCCGTATTCTGTATACATGCATGAACTAGATACATACATGCATACACACATACACTCAGACATTGTCACATTCATGCATTCGTCTCTCAGTTAGTGGTGACTGATGCCTGAGCAGATCGCATCCATCCTAGGGCAGGCGGCCTCAGTATGTACTCAATCTCCTTTCCTTTGTGCGGCAAGTCTTGCAAACAGTTGAACCTGTCTGCGCACAACCTGTCTAGCGACATACATACATACCTATGTTTATATAACTATGTGGTTTATTATGCATGTACGTTTACATTTTTAATGACATGTAAAGCATTTACAAGCATACGCACATACATGTAAGCCAATGGCTGCTTCGCTGGAACTTGGCACCTGCTGACTGACTGACACCTGTGTACCTCTCATCGTCAAGACTGTAGCAACTGGCTTTTGAAGATCATTCTACCAGGATCCTATCAGCCTCAGACGTCACCTTGGGCTGTGTAACTTTCTGAGGAGTGATCCTCCACCACCGAAACCGAGAGCGTGGTCCGCTCAGTCGACACAACTGGCTCTTGCGACTCAGGCATTGAGGTGAAGGAAAGAGGGGGCGCTTTCAGCAAAATGGAGATCCCAGTCCATGCAAAAGACCTCCAAGTTGCCTCTGCAAAAGCTGGTGAGCGAAGAAGTTCAGCGCCATCAGAGCCACTTTTGGAGCTCAGGATGTGGGAGGGCGGAAGATGTCACCCCATGCGCACATATTCCTACTGAATGTGCTTCATCATCCTGAGCAACCTTCTGCCTAATCCAGAGCACCAGACCAGACCTTTTTGGGTGGCTTCGTCTCAGTATCGCACGCATCTTGATTTGCTACTTCTGGAGTTGAGCGTAGACCTGCAGCTGCCAAGGGCGACACTCGGCGCTGAGTCGTCGCCGGAACACAGCAACTCTTTACTCTCCACTGCCGCGCAGATGCACAGAGAGACTCACGTGAGGTGAGTTGATTTGACTTCGGGTGCATTCCAGCTTTCGCTTGAGATCGTTTGAGCATCCCTACTAGCATGGAAACTCCCTAGAGTCCGAATCAATGGATTCAAGGGAAGAGCGAGCTACTTCTTCTGTCGTTGGAGAAACAAGCCCCATGTGGGAAGCAGAACAAAATCGTACTAGTAATACAGTTGTACCGCTCTTGAAGAAGCAGTGTTCGCCTTCAGATTATGTCTGTCATAAGATTGGATGCAGTCTGGTAGAAACTGCACTGTGCCAAAGGCGGCTTCTGTCGTAGTTCGACATGGAGGGTTCCCAGAAGCTGCAACAGTCTGTCCAAGCCTTGCCTTTGCATGTCCGTGTGTTTCTTGTTGTCGGTCACGAGCAGCTTGAGCACGCCCCAGCTGGCCCAACTATGTGAGGAAAGTGGCGAGATGTCACCGGAGACATTTACTTGTGGAGTTCCAAGGCCAAGATGTATCAATTGGCGACTGTCGTTCGGTGCAAGCGGTTTCCGAACCGATGTCTGCTTTGGTCATGGCCGTAACGTAAATCCTGGCTTGCATCACATGGTATACGGTTGCCTTGGCACGGATGACCTTAATCCAAGATTTCTGTGGTTTGAACGCTCATCTATCTCGCACGATCATGGGCATGCCCGTCATAACGGTGTCGCAGAGAGACTGACTCTTGCTGGAGTGAAGCACATTCCCTCCGCTGCCTTGCGTTTCACGGGAGGCTATCCGAGGCTGGAACAGCGCCCAGAGGCACCACCAGATTTTTGCCGGCGGGATTTCTTGCTTGATTCCAAGTACACTCAATCCTTGCAGCCACCCGTGTGAGTGCCGAAGCAAGTTACATCTGCAAAGAGCCGGATAAACACAAACGAAAACCTCGTCAGAACATGAGAGCTACACTCGAGATGTTGCCAGAATTCCTTGACTATTTCGCACTTTCGCTTAAGCGGCATGCCGTGTTCCACATGATCGGTTGGATGTGGCTGAGCATTGAACAGATGGGTTGTGCTCCCTGCCTGCTCTTGGCACTGAAGTGTTGTCAGGAAAGCGGACGAGCAACTTCTGCTTTGAACCTACCTTTTGGATCGTCTGTCTTGGGGAAAACCGCACATTCAGCTTGTAATTTGCTATCAGTTTTGAGAGGAGGGTGCTGGCATCCTGCACAGGCAGCACGGCCATCGCGGAGTCGGATGCTTCCAGCTGCGAATCGGTCGATATGAGCCTCGAGTGTATCTCAGACTCTGACTTGCCGGAGCCCAAGACTGTTTAAGGTTTCCTGTCGGGCTTGTGCCGCTGGGTTGATGGGATGCCAGGTAGCTTGCCATGAAAACTTCCCTTTACGCTTTGAGCTGTGCTGTTGGCAGAGGGACCCTTGGCGCGACATGCATAATCGCCATGTCGCAATACTGCCTCACGGAGTGGGGCCATCAGGAAGCAGCGGCAGAGAGAGAACGACAAATACAGCCTCCGGCAGCCGATTTCCTAAGCAAGGCAAAGCGAAGATTGAACCATCAACACCCGCTCTTGCATCTCCGACTATTCAGAGCAAGGTTGGATGCGGACGGATCGCAAGGCTCCCAAGGCATCCAGAGCGAAGGTTTGCTTTCTAGGTCACAGACATGCTTCCGGCTGAATTTGAATCTGATTTCTCCGAACAAGAAGCGGTACACCGCATGTGCGAATTCGATGTCGGGGCTTGCAGCGCAATTCGGTCCATACGAGGCATGATGAGACATGCACTTGCTGAGATACACCCTCCCGCATACTCAGAGACAATCTACACAGCAATGGCTCATGGCCTTGCCTGAGACCGCCGTCGTTGTTCGGAAAGGGTCGAATCAGGGAAACGGCTACCGCTCTGACCACAACAGCCTGGTGTAGGTCCGCCGATGACGGCAGTCGCAACAGAGCCGATTCAGGCACGAGTCGAGACGGGAGGGCCAGGCGACGCTTGTCAAAGACCTTCTCTAAGCCCAGGAAAATATCGATGCTGGGTGCTGAAAAGTAGTCCGAGGAGTCCGATATTTCAGCCTGCAGCCCATGTCTTGACCATGTTAAGGGCATTGCCAATGGGGTCTCCTTGCCAGAAACTTCCGCCACAATACGATGCGTGTCGATGCATGCTCCTTTGCACAAAAGTGTCTGTGAGCCTGATGTATCGTGCACGGCGGATTGACCTGTATCCATTCAGCAGGTAACTCAAGTACAACATGCAGTGCAGGGGTACAGCAGCTACGTGCGGGGCTGAGATCCTGCTCATTCCTTGTTGGATCTTTGGAGCGATCTTTGGAGCCCACTTGAGCTTCGTTCCAAGGGTATGGCTTTCTGCTTTCGATGATCCGTTGTAATTTTCCTCCCTCCCTCCCGATTTCCTTGTCTCTGTCCCTAGCTGACGGGAGGAGTGCTTAACCTTGTTTTCAGGGGTTCAGGCGGTTCAGGCGATCATTTGAAGATACCCGTGCAAGCAAAGGCCTTGCGTCGAATACCCTCATTTTTGCACTGGCAATGGTAACATGTTTATACAGCTGAATGCACGAGTTCTTTTTTTGTAGTGGCCACGGTTCCGCGGCCACCCTAGCCACCCCTAGCCTAGCTCCTGAGGGACCCTTGCAGAGTAAACTTGCGGCAGACCCAATATTAACCATTTTCCCTGTCACGCCAAGTCCAAAGCTGCGCCCAGCGCGCCTCCGCAGGGGAGCCTGTGTTTGCCAAAGGCAGCCTGGCTGGAAGATGCTGAGCCCCAAACAAGCTCCTCCATGACACTAGGGGCCAACATCCTCGACCTCTGTGCTCCAATGCTGAAGGCTCCCAGAACGGAATGCTACGGTGCCAATTGCAGACTTGAGGGCCGGAACAGTCCGGCAGCACTTGTATGTCAAAAGGCTGTATTCTACAGTGTTTCACTCCTCCTTCTTGAAGAATGCTACATTTAAGCTAGATGTCAGGGGCTGAAAGCTCGCGGCAGGATGCATCCACTAGTAAGGGGTTGCAGACTTCCAGATAGCAAGCCGGTTGAGCCTTTTGACTCAGCCTGTCGGCGTCTCGCTGGTGCTATACCGAGGCTAGCATGGACTTGAGTCATCAGCGATCTCGAACTTGGGGAAGCATCCCCCCTCCAAGCGCAACTCGCCTCCACCAGTGCTCATGCCATTCTTGGACCCTGACCGGTAACCAGGGTAGCATTAGCCCGATGATGTGTTCTAAGCGCGTCTCCGGCGAGACCACCACCAGGACAACAGCCGACTTGGGTGTCAACTCCGGCCAGTTTTCGAAGTCTGTCCAGTTTGTCGAGCCTGAGTTCCCCAAACCACCTAAGGGCATCCTCCACAAATTGGTACCTAGCAGCTAGCAGCCTGACGCTCCCAGGCCGGTCGCTTGACGGTGCCTTCCAAGGAGTCTCCGCTTAAGCGGAGATCAATGCGACGTCTCCAGACCATGCCAGCAGGCCGGGGGGAGTGATGGCCCACGGCCCACGGCTCTGAATGGGCGTTCTCATTCTGGAATACTTGGGTCTTCGAGTGTTGTCAGAAACAAGGTTTTGCCCTGCAGCACGGGCAAAATAGTATCGAATTGTCGGGGTATCAGGGCGGCAGGCTTCGAGTGCTGAAAATCTCAGCGGATGAAGAGAAGTGTTTGATGATAAGGTTGATGTTTCTACAATCCAACAGTTTGCGAAGGCAGACTCCGTGAGTGCACTGGGTTCCAGGTACTGGGAATGACGACGACGAATGCAATGAATTCGTGGAGCCCGCCGTTGAGAGCAGGCAGGAGCAACGGTACGTTGCTCGTAATCTCCTCTGGCTGCACAGAAACCAATAGTCGGGTGTGCGCGATTGGCCTGGAGGGATATTGTTTGTTGAAACTCTTGGCCCGACCTTCGGGAAGAAGATGGGATAAGGATGGCTCGGCATGTTCCACTAACATGTAAGCTTTTCCTTTGTGTGCTGATTTGTTGAGGCCAATAGAGCATTTGGAAGACCGCAAGATCTACGACGTTTATTACTGGGAGGAGGCTCGAACGCATCCTCTGCATGCTGGTTGGGCTGCAGCAACCCAAGAGTTGCACCGCCTTTAAACCCAGACCGGCTTGCAGTCTTGAAACCAGAACTTTACTTTCTCAGAGAAGCACAAGTACGTAAAGCGCATATCGAGGCCCACCAGTGCAGAAATGTGCAGAAGGTGCTTGCCCACAGCCGAGAAGCCCCTGCATTCAAACTGGAAAGTCGGGGTTCGTTGCCTCGTACAGGTCATTCAGGAAGATGGCGATGGCGGGAAAGTTGTTTACTGCAGGAAGAAGGATGATGAGGCACCCGAGGGATAATTTTGTGATTATGTTGTTCCGAGACGACTCTTCATTCTACGCAGTGGCTTCTCGAGCATGCTATATAAGCAGCGCTCTCTGCGACCCTCATTCGTTATAATTCATCCGACGAGCAAGTGTACTTCACAGACAAAGGACGGAGGCTCAGCACGACAGAGAGCAACGGCGCTGACACGCCACGCGCACATGTGCACAAACATGCACGCACACAGGAACACATGGACGCATGCACCCACCTACCTGCACACACTCGCATCATGTGTATATATATATATATATATATATGCACATACATACCTTTGCGGATATAGATGAAGACGAAAAGCATGTGCATATATATATATATATATATATATATATACATACGTATTTGTTGCAATGCCTTTTGTATGGTTCCTCGGAAGTCCGGTTGTAGTGAAAGGTGGTAGCTGAGTAGCCTTTCGCCCGAGTCCCACGTGTGACCTGCAATGCGGTCTCTGACCAGCCAAGCGGGAGCCAAAAATACTCTACATGCATAGGTATGCAGGTATGTATGTTCTATACGTATGAATCGCAAGCAGAGAAAACTCCGAAGGCCATGGCTGCGCGTGTTCAATTCAGTTCTTTCTCTTGTGAGCCTTAAACATGAGGACAAGCTTATATCTGACATGCCGTGCCCGTGGCATGCGTTTTTCATGACACGCCTTCGGTGCCTCACAACATTACTAAGATTGCTCCTGAGTGTTGCAGCTTTTTCTTGCTCCGTCCCGAGCCTGATGACTGGCCATCAATGCCATTTTGAATGCGTACAGGCATACAGCACAGTATCCAGCGGCCATGGCGGGGCAGCTTTTGAATGGGTGCACGCACACACACACACACACACACACACACACACACACACACACACACACACACACACACCCACCCACCCACCCACCCACCCACCCACCCACCCACCCACCCACGCACACGCACGCACGCACGCACGCACGCACGCACGCACGCACGCACGCACGCACGCACGCACGCACGCACGCACGCACCCACCCACACACACACACACACACACACACACACACACACACACACACACACACACACACACACACACACACACACACACACACACACACACACACACACACACACACACACACCATTCCACTGTTCTGATTCTGTTGGAGTGAATTTTGTTGTCTGCTGGGGTCGCACAACTACACCCTTCCACGACATGCACTTCAAAACCAACGTTGTTGCCGCAAGCCAGCGCTGCGAACCCTGTCGATGCTTAATTAGTCTCGTGTTGCCGCATTGCCGGGGCTTTCTTGGTCAAGGGCCGCGCGGATGAGGGCCACCAGATCGATCGATTCGAGACTGCCGGATGTATTGCACGCGTCGCTTGAGTTTGGAAATGTGGGGTTCGTCCTAGAACGCATCCAGGAACCGACGACGTCCGTGTAGCGTGGGAGCTTGTTAAAGGCTGGGGTGCAATTAGTTGCCGAGCTGTTTGAACAGGTTGGAAGCGAATTCAACAAGGTCATGAAGATTAAGTCCAAACTGAAGCTCCAGCATCCTGGACGCACTTGTTTTCGAAAGAGCTTTGGTCAGCGGGTCTGATCCAAGACCTCTCAGGCCAGACTAGGCTACGCATTTTGTGACTACAGGGTTGCCATACCAACTAAGGAAAGAAGGCTTCGCTAAAGAATACCGACAAGAGCCTTGGCGAATTTTGATCCTGTTGGTCCGGCTGCATATCCAACTCTTCAGACTGCAGAACTAGTCAGGACCAGGATGTTTTGTCAGCCTTTTCGGCACGGATGGTGTCGTCGAAGTCCCGACCTCCCTCATCCTCCCAAGCAGAACCAGGTTTTGGCATGCCAGCAGAAACCAGGAGCAACAGCTGCCAAGCAAAGACCGAAAGCCCCTTTCTGGCTTTGCTCAGGTTATTTTGAAAATGTTGTCGCTGCCGCCGCATCCAGGAATAATGCCAATCGAAGAGGCCCGAAGCAGCGCTCAAAGAGGAAGACTAAGATTGTCTCATTGCACTCTTCAGCTGCAGATGCTGCAGTTTGCGCTTTGTCTGAAGTGGGCAGAGCTTCAAAGTCATACCCCTGATCTGACGAGCTTATCTCAAACTGTACACGATCGACTGCTGGGTCCTGTTACGAGGAACATCGCCAAAGCCGATAGTATTGAGATGCGACTTCGGGTCAACGGAACCCGGGTTCTTGGCATGTCTCGAGCTGCAATGAATTGCATGGATTGTTCCAACCTGTTCGGCCATGAGAGGCATTGGAAGACGACGCGTTTTACTACGCTCCACGCTCAGATGGCACCCGAAACCTTCTGTGAAGGAGAAGAAGCTTTCCTTTTGAACGGGCCAGCGTTCCTCCAATCGAACCTGATGCGCACATGTGCTTGACTTGGAGCTGTCACGCAGAAAGTCCATCCTGTCCGCAACATGGAAAGCCAGTTGTTGATGCCGTTTCAGTATGTCGGATTCCGTGATATTGCACTGAGATACTCTCGCGTAGTCTACCCTGTGCAAGTATTTCTTCTGACTTTTGGACTCTATGTGAATCCGTACTGGCTCCGAAGGCCTGGCAGTGCCGAGGAGAGATGAGGAGAGTCGAACTCGCGTGTGCTTGAGGTCGTCTCCCCTCGAGCGACAAGCAGCTTTTTTGCTGGCCTGCTCGTGGAGTTTCAGGCCGGAGGTTGTGCTTTGCTGATTTCAGATGCTTGCCAACGAGTTCCCTCACGACATGCGGGCAAATGCGGCCAATTTGATACCAATATGAGAACCAACTTAGCTGGAAAAGTCCATTCAATGATTAGTTTGAAATACCCCAGAGCTCATTTGCAGAACCAGTTTCAGCTTCTCGGCATTCACTCGTTTCGCCACGGCACTACACTAGGCCCCTGGGCACTGCACTTCACGTGGTTCCTTGAACATGTTTGGACCAGATGGGAAGTGTGTAGCGCTTGATCATCCCGTGTATTTACCTGATCGAACTTAGGTCCCAAGACAGCGCAAAATCAGTGCTCTGTAGCTGCCGAGCATGACCACAAGCAAACCCGAGTACTTGGAGTTGATTTCCGTGCTCCTCCGTTTCTACTCTTGATACACAAGTGCTTGCACCCGACGAGCCGTCGGGAATTTCAGATATCCATCGCCACGCGAGCTTTGCAACCAGGATGGCGTCGTTCCAGAAGCGGCTTTGAGGACCAGCGGCTTTTTGCCTTGAAGGGACATGTTATCAATGCTCGAGCAATCATGTACTTTCATGATGGCAAGCAGAATGCACAAGCATGGATCCCACATGGCACTTTATGCGGATGCTCTCTGCGATGCAGTCAAAGTATTTCGATGCAGGGAGGAGGACGTACCTAACAGCACGTCCCAAATGTGGTAGCTACGACCTTTCCACTGGAGCTTCCGTTGGGCGTCGCTCAGCTGGCCGACCAGTGTTTTCAGTGCCTGCAAAGCGGACCTGTGGGACGGGTCGATTCACTCGTAGTTTTGCCGAGTGTGCTGTTGACAGGAGTCTTTTAAGGGATATCTTGGAAGCTCTCGACCATCTCCATAGCCACCGAGTGCTGCTCGGCTGCGTTGTAAGTCTGAACACTGTTTTCAGGAGAGAGATCTCGTCGGGCTACTGCAGATTCTGCTTGAGCACATGGATAGTGCCCTTGACGGAGCGGTGAAAGCTGGGAAACTGAAAGCTTCAACCCTGGCCGACACGCGAGGCTGCACCGAGACATTAAGCCAGACAACATGGTCTTGCAGGCCTTTCAGGGGGCCGGGTGAACAATTGTCGTGTTGGCATTGGCACTGTAGGGAGGGGTGTGAGACTGCAGATTTCCAATTGGTGTCTACTACTTTTCAGGGAAAGCAAGATCCCGACGACTTCTCCCGACTAGAGATTGAATCTAATGTGCGATATGCCCATATGGATGCATTGCACGGAAGAGGCTCCGAGGGCACCCCGAAGAAGACTTGCATTTGCGGCATGGCATATAACGTGCAGGACGACATAGCCACAACAGCGCCGCGAATCAACATCCGACTGTCGATAGTCGTGTGTCCTTTGATCTAAGCTAAGATGGCGGTAGGCAATCTTCAGACTTCAGGTGCGACGGCAGGAACTTCGGAGACCCTGTGGCCCTCACTCGCGCACTTAGTCAGAGTCGCATCTGGCAGCAGGCCTACTTACCCCTGGACCCTGAATTCGCGTGCCATTTGCTGCGCCTGCGCCTTTTTTCATGCAGCCGGAGGCCTACACTGACGAAGCAACAGGTGAGACGAAGAGGACAGCAAGGGCTGGAGATGGACGGGATGCCCCAAATTAAAGGGGCGATAGCTTCAGCGGCGGATGGACTGCAACGTACTCAGGTTCGGCATTGACTCCCGACCCGACCTGAGTTCCGCAATGTTGCGCAGCTTCGCAGACACTGACCCCAAACCATCCCCGATTGGTGCCAGGCACGGCTGAAAGCATGTGCAGCCAGGTGTTGATTGCAAATCTTGCAAAGATTCAAGAGGTTCAAACCCGAGCCAGATGTCAAAAATGTACTAAGGCTACTGTAATTGTGACGGTCGTGGCTGCAAGGAGAGTGGTTCTCATCGACTTCGACCACGCAGATCCAGATTTTACGTACTCGAACGATGAGGCCTGGAAACAGCTCAAGGAACAGATTTTATTTAACAACAGTTTGTAGCACTTTCGCAGGAAGCACGCTCATGGATCGGACTGAACACACGGAACACGCCCCCAAATCGCACAGTCGTTGCCGCAAACTGCCGGATGCAGTCACTGTTGAAAGTCGCAGGATCGAATCTATGGAACTCGACGCTTCAACGCACCCGTGGCTCGTCAGAGAGTGTTTGCCATATCAAGCATCCTACGTCCGCTGCAGAGTTCACCCACTATGTAGAGGCTTCAAACTCATGCAGCGCGGCAGGTTTTCAGCAAAGTAGTGTAGGGTGCCATGTGGTCTACGGCAATGGCAAAACATGCGTTTCGACGAATGTGCTCAGGTCTGTGGCAAAGCACACTGGCAACACACACCATGATATCAACGCTAGTTGCTGCTAATGTTCGAACATCGAAACTGTGTATCTTCTTCAGGGGATCTCATTGCTTCCCTAAAGGTCTAAGCACCTTCATCAGACCCGGTGCTGGAAGAGTTGTATTTGATTTAGGGTGTTGCCCAGCAGCTTCAGACGAAGCAACTGCAGCAGCAACACCAACACAGCGGGCTTAGCGACGAGCAACATCATCAGGGTTATCACGAATATGGACAAGCAGCAGCATAATCATCATCTTGCAGGCATAGTTGGATTCGAAGCGGCAAGATTTCTTGCAAAACGCAGCTGCGGCCACTCAGAAGCCACGGCAAAGTTGACCCGAGTTGTACGCGCAACGGCTGCTGCACCTGCCTGCTTTACAGACAGGAGGAAATGTAGCCCAACAGATCATGTCCATCTTCCGAGAGAGAAAAAGCATGCAAGTGGTCCTCCACATCGAGAAGGAGCTGTTATGGCGCAGCACGAGCAGGCATGCCAGTTTACGAGGCAAAAAGGATGCACGGCTGGAACACGTTTGGTAGGCTACCTGAGCAAGCTGACAAGCAGCCGGATGTAATCATAACCCTCTCTCAAGCCGTAGAATCCCTTTCCGAAGCTCCCCCAAGAGCCGCCTTCGGCACCTTAAAGGCGGCATACAAGAAGCGGGAGAAGACCTGCAGGAGAGTTTTGAATCTGTGTAAGAGCGAGTTCCCACCCCTGAGTGTTGCAGTTTGCGGCTCCAGGGATGTGCGACTTCGCGTGGGCAGGATGCAGCATGATTTTGGACTTACCGGCATGCGTCTCAACTAAGGAATCGTACCTATGCTGCTTTTCGAAGCAGACAGACCTCTACAGTGTAGGCAGGGGTTCAGGGCGTTTGGGATACGACAAGATTCTGGTCATGTCTGGCATTTGTGGCAGTGCCAAGAACTTGGAGAACCTTTCACGGTCGCGGACAGACGAGTTCGGCGTCAAGTTTCAGTTTTGTAGAAGACGCCCTATTTCCCCAGCGCAGCTTCGGATAGGTCCTTTGAATCGAAGTCAGCGCCAAAATAATTGAGAAGATGAGAAGACTTTCTCTGCGATGGGCGTTTCAAGACTAGGCTTCGTGCACACTGTACAAGTTTCCAACTTCCAATCGAATCAGGTGCAAACAGGTTTGGCAAAAAAAACTTCCATGCTAATGAACACCATTCAGGTTTCTCAAGAAGCAAAGGAGCTCGGAAAAGTCGCATCTGTGATAGAATGCTTGAAATCGCACATGGCATGCCATGCGAGGCGCTGTCTTCTACATGTTGATGACCGGAAAGACGCCTGATTGAAGCTTATGCTCTGGCAAAGCGACAGCTAGAATTTGATCAGGAGGGGCAACTAGCAAAACTGCTCGAGCCTCGGTCATCCCACATTGCGTCCTGAGACCTTGTGCTCCCTCGGCTCTGTGCACGGCCTACCCACGTGTACTCAATGTGCTCCTGTGAAGATCAGCACCCTTACCCCGGTCCTTGTGCACTTGACTATGGCTACGACAGAAGACATCATGCAATGCTGGCACGGCAGCAGCATAGTCACCCGCTCCAGCGAAGGTGGTAAGTCTGCAACACGGACAGTTTCTCGAGTTCGATTTTCGGAAGTTCGGACATGAAGGGCCCGGGATGCAGGCATTGACGGGCTGATGTGTTGCGTGCTTGATGCACGGACAAACAGTCCAAGTTCTCAGTCGGGTACCGGATGGGACCACAAACTTGCTGTGGAGTTGATGCTGTGCTGACTGTGCTCAGTGCTCGGCCTGGCCATCAGCCAGTCACTAGACGGTCTCACTAGACGGTCATCATGCCAATCCAAAATTCTCCAGACCCCCGTTTAGACATGACAGTCGCTAGTAACGCTAGTAGTGCATAGCAGATTCCGGTCTTTGCCTTGGTGGGATTCGAAGATCTAGTGCCCCGAGGATGCCATACGACGACGAGATCTTCGAAGGCATTGGAAAGCCCGTTGCCCCACCGGGATCCAGGACGCCATTCGCTTTCGTTCGGACTTGGGACAAGATTGAAGGCTTCGCTTCGACTTTGATGGTGTCCGTGCGGCGATGTTTCTGTACAGGAGTGAAGAATCACGTCCGGGAGTGCGTCCGACACAGGGCGCTATGATGATCGAAATGCTGGAACCGATTTCATGGCACAGCCGTCGTGCGCCGAAAGCAGCACAGCAAAGTAGAGAAGATTCCAACACGCTTCTGAAAGCTCGAGCAATCTCAAGTCATGAAACTGCTGCTGCAAATGTTCTCAAAGTCTACAAGTTTCTACATGATGTCCACACGAGCAGGATACCAAGTCCTCGGATCGCCTGGCAAGAGACATTTCAGAGTGCCGGGCTAAGCTCCAAAACATAGGGCGGGTGGGTCACGGGTTTTAGATTCGCCGCTCCATTCTTGCAATGCCCCGTGCGAGCATTTGCTGGGTCAGCTTGCATGTCGGCACCAGATCGTCCAGTGACGGGCCTCTGGGCCTCCGGCCTGTCGGGACGATGCTTCCAATCTCTGCCCGAGCACGAATCTAAGGACTCAAACAGGCAGAAGTGGATTGGGAATGCGACCCCTGGCCATCGCAGCCAGGAGAGAATCAAGCTGTTGTTGGCTGTGAGGTGTTTGAGAACACAGAATGAAGCGCTCTGAGTTCATCACTGAAGGTAATCCTGTTACTACACTCATATATATATATATATGTATATGTATATGTATATATATATATATATATATATGTATATGTCTGTGTCTATATATGCAGGTAAAGAGAGAGAACTCGGGCCTGCAGTGCGATGCTTTCTTTGTGTAGGTATGTATACATACATACACACACATACATGCACAGTGTGGTTCTGTTTGTTTGTGCGTGAGCTTGTCCCTCTCTGGACCTGCAGTTTTTTGGAGTACACGGACGAGGTCCTTACGTTTCTCAGTGGCTCAGGGTGTAAATAAAGAGATCGGCTTGAGAAGGGTCAGCTCAAGAAGGTTTCGGCGATAAATAAAGCTGAAAAAATTGCATTGAAAAGCTATTCCCTGTTTCCGGCTGAAGCCTACGAAAAAACTTGCAGAGACCTTGTGGCTGAGTATAGGCCTTGCGCTCCCACTCCTCCATAAGCAAGGCAGCCAGTCAGCAAAGACCTATGCAAGCAGCTCCTGTCCTTCTCGCCGGCGATGCGGCCCAGGGATGCCAGAGCAGTCTCTCAGCACGCACTGCAGCCCTGCCCAAACCCCTCTAAGCAAATGTCCCGGAAATAAGTCATGAAACGTTGGCACAGGTAGTATCATGGGAAATTCAGAAGCACCCTGTGGCGCTGTATTTGTGTGCTAGTTGCAAGCATTTGTCCAGTGCGTCAATTTTTTTCTCTTTCAGTACACGGGATCTCTTTCCTTGCATCTTGAGATTTCGGCTCTTCGCCCTTGGATCCGCCTATAGCCCGAAGATTCCCAACCCAAATTTCCCGGCACCTGCACGATTCGTCCCATGGAAGCCCGTAGCGCTGCGACAGCAATGACTCTAGCAGAGACAGAGTCTCAATTCCGATTGGAGCAACACATGACATGCTAACACTTTGATGCAGCACCGATCGCAAGCCTTGTCAGGCATTGGCGCATCCGTGGTTTTCAGAGTGCTAAGCACCACGAAGCTGCACTAGAATGGCTGCGCGCGTGAAGCGGTGGCTTGCATCCAAAAGCTTCGAGCTTGTCCAGTCGGCATCCACCAGACTTCTTGGCTGTAAACTCAACTTTTCAACTTTTGGGGCTCTTACAAAGAGGCGATTCTGAAAGTTTCAACTTCTATACCCTTGGGTTTTTGGGCCAATGAGCAGCAAGCTTCGCTCAACATGCTCTACCAAGCCCACCGGCTTGGAACAGATTCCCATTTTGAAGACCCATCAAGATGCGTGCAAGCAGGCCACCGCTGTTTTGCCAGTTTCTGGGCCTTCTCGATGAGGGACCCGCCAGATTCCACGTCAGCACGGCACCGCCGATGCGTACTGTCGACCTAGCGGTCTTTGAGGCTTGAGGGCTCCAATGCACACATCAAGGTTCAAGGACTTGAAACAATCGTAGCTGGAGCGCAGCCGCTTTGACACTAGTTTGATCTTCAGCTAGAGACAGGGAGGGAGAGTGATGGAGAGAGAGAGAGAGAGAGAGAGAGAGAGAGAAAGAGCATGGGGCCATGTATCAAGTAACCCGGGGTCATATTGGGGCGAAGCCCCCAGCTCAGCTTGCAAAACAGTCCCGAAAAGTTTCACACACACCAGACGTGGACACACAGCGTCGCGCAGTGCGCAGGGTTAGCAGGGTCCGCCTTGCTGACCCACACGCTGGGCAAGCAAGAGAGAGAGAGAGGCCGGGACGCGGGAGGTTTAGTGTAAAGTTTAAAGGGTGGGGCTCGCTGCATGAGAACCGGGGGCACACGGAGTAGTTCAATGCCGCGATCTGGAGTAACCCCAAAGCCGACCACTCACTAACACAGTGGGGGGTTGGGTGGGCCATTGGCCTGAGGGTCGCTTGACGATCCCTAAGCCCAGCAGAAAGAAAGAGAGAGAGAGAGAGAGAGAGAGAGTAGCCATTTTGGCTCAAGGCCGTGAGTGCTCAAGGCCCGAGCCACGTAACTAGTCTGAGAGAGAGGGCCTCGAACCGGGGCGAGCCGCTGAGGGAGGGAACCGCCCAAGCGACCATAGTGTGCGAGATCACCTACATCTCCGCCGCTCTTTGCGCGAACACCTTCGAAGTTACTGTAGGCGACCTCGGGGAGTTTGCTCCTGTACGGTGGCCACACGCAGTTCTTTCGGGAAAAGACCGCCAGCGCCGACGAGGCAGTCGGCGGCCTACAGGTGCCCAACATTGCAACAGCGATCCACCACCTGAGCTTTGCTGGGAGGGAGTGTTCCTCTACACTGGGCGGGGGACTACCAATACGTCGAGATCGCGAACTACTTGCAGACCGGCGACATCGCAAACTTCTTCTCGTCTACAACATGGCGACGAACAATGCGATCACGGGGGCAGGTACCGGGAGCGAAGCCAGGTCTGAAGGGGCTCCACCTCACTCCACTCCAAAGCGAGCTCGCGAACACGAACAGAACGGCGAAGACCCGGGGGAACAACCACTGACACTTGCTCTACTACAACAAGCTCTGCAGGTCAGCCAAAGGGAGATTACCCACTCGCTCCATGAGTCCTTGGAGGGGATTGGCAGACGAGTCGAGAACCTGGAAGGCAACTTCGAGCAGCACGTCGAACGAACAACACAACTGCTGGGGGCAATGACCGACCGCCACTGCGACATCGAACACACTGTCAAGAAGGTCGACCAATCCTATGAGGAAGTGCGCCGCCGCCTGGAGCTGCTGGAGGGCAAGTTCGCCACCGCATCCTTCTCTACAACAACCAACACAAGCCTGCGCAGCACAGACACCGGGGGACAAGAAAATGCCCGCCCGGCTGTCATCATGGGGGGATGGGACGCAGACCAGAGTGCAAGCGAAACCCTGCGACTGGTAAAACAGCACATCGCCGAGCTCCACATCGACATTGACATGGACGATGCCTTCGTCCCAGGAATCCGGCGGGGATTCGCCATCGTCCCCGTTGCAGCAAGAGCCAATGAAAGCCAAGGGGATTTTCGAGCTCGCCTTCGTGAAGCCTTGAAGGAGATACGAGAGTCCAAGGTCATCACGGGGCAAAGGCCTGAAGGGGGAGACCGCCATTTCTGGGCAGCCATGTGTGAAAGTCCCGAGCGTCGCAAACGAGCCCAATTTGCAGGCAAAGTAAAGAGATTGATCTTGGAGATGCAGGGGGACAAGCACAAGCTCGACGTGGAATTCGGCACTGGCAACGTATGGTACAGCAGTGTCAAGATCGCATCCGCTACTACATCACCACCGCCTGGAGCCGAGACGGCGGGGATCGGATGGATTCTACTAAACACATTGGCACGGCAGATGGGGACAAGCTTGAGCGCTCTCTCTGACAAGTGGGGGGAGCTTAAGCGACCCCTGGAGTGACCAGACACACAGAGGCAGTATCACCCCCGGGAACAACCAAAGCAGGATCCCGGGGAAGTGCATGCAGTCACATGGAATGTTGGGGGACTGACACCACTTCGAGCCCTCCAGCTTCTTCGTGACCTTCGAAAAGAACGAATTCACCCTTTCCATGAGTCCTTCGTGCTACTCCTCCAAGAGATAGTGGTCGACGAGGGCAAGCACACCCACGAACTCGACGACATTCAGATGATTGCAGGTAAACGCACAGATGACTGGCGTGGCACAGCGATTGCCCATACAGCCGATATGCAGCACAACCGTCACAAGCTGCTGGACCATGCCAACTGCGCTGTGATCTGCATGAACAAACTCCGCGTCACCGTGACCTCCGGGCACATACCACACCACTGCACCGTAATCGAGTGTTGTGGCATCCTGGAGAACTGGAAACAGCACGTCCAGGGGGACAGGAAGATCGTGATAGGCATGGACGCAAACGAGACCTTCAAGGCTGGGCATGAAACTGATGTGCTCTCTGACTCGGCACGAGGGGAACTTATCCTCACGTGGTGGATGGCACTGAAGGGCGATTTCCCCATACAGCAGCTCGCCAAGCCCTCGTATTACCCGTACAACCACCGCATGAATCCACGCCGCCTGGACTATGTGCTCACGAAGACTATAACCACCCAAGCGGGGGACGTGGGGAGCCTTCGGAACCTGGCGATCAGTGACCATGAACCAGTGTGGGTGCCCTGCTTGATGCCACTGGCAAGAACCCAACCGGCAAAACGCGAGAAGCCTTGGGGCTGCCGGCAATTGCGAAATGCCACAGTCGTCGAGAAGATCCTGGACGACAGACCACGTGTCTCTGGCGACCCTCTTTGGCAACTTCGCGAGATTGCGGTAGCCGTCACGAAGCCTGGCAGGGGGATCCTTGGATTCCGGGAAAGCGAGGAGCTAAAAACTCGACGGCAGCTGATCATCCGCATGATCCCGGGGGATGAACAGAGACGCCAGTGGAAAGAAGTGCTGAAGCTTCGCAGACAAGAACATCGCCAATGGAAAACGACCATGCACGAGAAGGCGGGGAAAGGCTTCTGGCATTCTAAGAAAATCATGGACAGCGACGGGCACACCACAGCCTGGGAACTACAACTACAAGACGATGAACGTTGGCGGGAGACCTTGCACAAGCACTTCAGCGACATTTTCAACAAGCAACGACGTCCTGAAGTGGACCGGAAAATCTCGGAGATCAACGACAAGCTGACCGCTATGTGCAAACTCACAAAGTGGTGCCCCTTCGACGAAACTGAGCTGAAGGCTGTTCGAAAAAGGTGGAAAAATGGGAAGTCCTGCGGGTTGGACAGTATCGCCAACGAAGCACTCAAGGCCCTCTCCAAGCATGACTACTGGCGGGGGAAGCTGCTGTACTTTCTCAATGACTTGCTGTACGTCGGCAAGCTGCCACAAGGCCTCGAAGCTGGAGTCACCGTACTCTTAGCGAAGTGCCCCACCCCCCAGTCCTGGGGGGATACAAGACCTATTACCTTAAGTTCGACGTTGCTGAAAACTTTTTCGCAGCTGATCATACACCGAACCGCCCATATGGTACAAGGTCCGTCAAGACTACAGTGGTCACGACGCCATCGACAAGGGGTGGAACTCATCATGATGTTGAGGAAGGTCTGCAGAACAGCACATGACTGGGGAATCCCCATGTACATTGCCAAACTGGACATTCGCAAGGCATTCGACTCTATCTACCAGGAGGCGCTCGCCGAACAGATCGCCCACGATGTGGGGGAAGTCGGGGGATCCCCCTGGGAAGCTCGAGCGTGGGTACAACTTCTGCACGCCCAGAAGGTCACTGTACATTTCCGGGGGGAAAACTTCGACGTGGACCAAACTAATGGCGTCCGTCAGGGGAGCCCCGATAGCCCCATCGCATTTGGACGTGTGGTCGCCCTCGAGCTGGAACGCTCGATCCAGCAGTCCGCGCCCGCAAAGTGCACTTTCGGGGAACCACCACCGGAAGATGGATGTTGCTACATGGACGACAGCTACATATGGTCGACCACGCGACACCACCTACAGACCATGCTGGACAGGCTGGGGGACAACCTTCCACCCAAGGGCCTGGACATCCACCCCGACAAGACGGAGATCATCGACAACCAGCAGGGGGGAGTATCCTTCCAGGTGGCGGGGAACACCGTGACCAGCAAAGGGCCCAAGCACATCATCAGAACTCTGGGGAGCCCGATCTGTTTTGCCAGCCCCCCTGCTATACTCGTAGCCGAAATGCAAGGCCGGGGGAGACGTGCCTTCAGCAAACACAGGGGGACGCTCATGTCGAAGGCCCCTCTCAAAAGCCGCTTGCAGCTCCACACAGTGCTAGTCAGACAGAGCGCCTTATGGGCGTGCGAAACGTGGCCATGCGTGGACTATGTGCTGAAAGCCGCCAACGCCTTGCAGTTACTGCATACAAGGACTATGATGTCCCCCCAGCGTCACGCGGGGGAGTCCTGGCCGGACTGGAATGCAAGGACTATGCGAAGGGCACGCCTGCAGCTGCACCAGTGCAAAATCGACAGATGGAGCAGCTTCATCCTTCAGCAGATATGGGGGCTGATGGGACACATAGCACGCGGAGACATAGTCGCTTCAAAAATGCTCCGATGGCGTGACCTCCGCTGGTGGCGCATCGAACAATCGGTTCCGCAGAGCTGGGGCGGCGAACGACATGCCAGCCGCTTCCACCCTTTGCTAGACGTGGAACGCCAGATCAGCGACATAGCCGGGGAAGCATGGCAGGAGACCGCCCAGAACAGACTGGTCTGGGAAACTCTGGGGGAGCAGTTCGTCGAACGTTTCGACGTACCCTGGACCTCGGGGAACCAAGCCCAGCTCGAGAACTTGGCGCCAAACCGTGCGGCGGAGACCACCACAAGAACCAGTACCAAGAAGAGGAAAAGAAAACCCAGAATGCTGAAGTACGACGAGAGCCGATGAGCGATGAGACAACGTGACGGGCAACAGTAAGCAGGATCCTCCTCTCCTACTACGTAGCCCAGGATAGACCTCGTCCACATAGAAGCCTCCAGTACAGACAGCACCCTGGGGGACTGCTCCCACCTATCGCTGTACCGTGAGTGTGTGGCACTGTGGGGGAACCAAAACCAGTGATGGCGACCTGCACCAACAAGAGCAAGCCGCGTTTAGCTCAGCAAGTCCAGTGCATAATCCATGCTATTCACCATGGCGACCAGCATGCAGTTGTGCAGTGGAGTGAGAAGGTTGCTCTGTTGTACTCAGCTCGCCGCGCCGCCGCCGCCTCGCCTCATCGATGACATGTTTTTCCATGGTTCACAACACGATCACGGTGTACTACATGAACATGCTGACCTACTTGTACCTTGCTGACCTACTTGCACCTTGTCGACTGCCTGCACTATATCACGAATTGCTATGACCTCTTGAACAACCCGACACTGACCGCCCTAATTCAAAAATAAGATCGACACAGTGGTACACTAGCAAGTGCCAACGAACCTCCCAACGTGTGAGACAGACGTGCTCGAGCACCACACTGGAGCATGGGACGACTAAGCCAATGCCTCGCAGTAACACTATACTGCCTGCTGTGGCAACAAGCTGCACAGATGCAACCGCAAAGCAAAGAGCCGAAGCTGCGCGCAAGCACCGGGTCCACCGGCACACCAGCACCACCACCACCACCGACCCCGCCACATACTGAGGCTGGCCAACAACACGGACCACAACAGCAGCAGCCTTTACCACAGCAGCCCCACGCCACCGGGCCGCCAATGCATGGGACAGGAGCTCCATATCAACAACAACAACAACCACAGCCACCTGCGTACCAGCAACAGCCACCACCATACGGCGGGAGCATGCTGCCGGCGACGCCGCAAGCTCCATGGCTTCCACCTTGGGTAGCAACAACAGGAGGAAGCACCGGGCACATGCCCATGGCAGCCACCTCGTTCCAGTGGACTGCTACACACCCGTCGAGTGCCGGGGCGACAGTAACCTCGTGGGGCGGATATACACTCACACCACAAGCAAGAGCCCAGGCAGACGGGAATGGACAACCCCAGATCCACTTCCCCCCACCTGCACATCAGCTCCAACACCAGATCCCACAGCAAGCCTCCTTACCACCGCCGCAGAACCACTATCCACAACCACACCCCACACTGCAAGCTGCACAGTACGGAGGGCATCCGCAGCAACAGCCACCACAGCCCCAACCTTACCAACCACAACAGCAAGTTCCGCCCCATGCACAGACCCAAGCTACGGCACCAATGACAGCCACCGCATGTCCCACCCAGCCACCATGGGCCAGTGCCGGACACCATGGTCATGGCGGACTGCACAGAGTCCGTTATCCCCCTGCATATGACCCCGACACGGACCCATGGCATGACTCCGACGACACACCACCCGTACCACCAGCCAACATACAGAATCAGCATCACCCCAAAGTGCCACCCACAACCCAGCCACAACCACCACAACCACAGATGCAACCAAGCAGTATGACGACAGATACCCACCAGCAGGCGCAGAGAGACCCTGACGCGGCGTCAACAGATACGCCACATTCACCTTCCACTTCCCCACACCAAAACCCACCCGGGGCAGACCAGAGCCAAGACCAAAGCCGTCGGCAATCCACCCAAAACCAAACACCACAGCAATGCCCACCGAGGGCCACCCACCACCAGCTGGATGAAGACAGCACACCTGCCGAAGCCACCGTCAATATGGGGGAGCAATGCCACACTACAGCCGAAGCAGCAGCGGGGGGAAGCCCAGAAGGAGAAGCGGTAGCAGCCGACGCCCCCGCAGCAGACACAGCCCAAGCAGACGCGAATGCCGCGGAGCCGACTGCTGAAGCACAAGAGGAGACCGACGAAGGTGAGGAAGACCCAGACGGACCGCGTGCGAATGCAGGTCACGGAAGCCAAAGAGTCCAAAACAAAGCTTCCAAATACGTGTGGAAGCAGACGAACCGAGGAGCGGCCAACCCTGAACCGCGCCCCCCCCCCCAGGACCAACATGGACCTGGCTGGGGGATAGTCTATAGAGACCAGCAACAGCAACAGCAACAACAACGGCGGCCACAACAACGGCAAGACCGACAGCACGCAGCCGGGGAAAGACCCCCCACGCGACCACAACAACAACAACAAGGCCGACCGGCAGGCCGAGACCAAGCACAGCCCCAGCAAGACAACACAGACTGGGCAGACCTGCTCAACCGCCACAACCTCCCCTGGGGCACGTATGGAGCCCCTCGGCCTGACCCCCACCCAGCCGACACTCATCAGAATTCAGCAGCGGCAGCAGACACAGAAGACGATCCAGAGCCACACCCACAACAGCAACAACAGCCACGACCCACCGAAGCATGGCAACTCTGGACCTCAGAGGTACACCAACCAACACAACAACCGACACATACCCATGCCAGCGACACCGACACGGCAGACAACGACCCTCCACAACACCATCAACAACCACAACCACAGACACCACCGGAGGCAGCCACCGGACAGGCCGACGCAGGCACCCACGACCACGATAGCAGCATACCGCCGTGGGAGGCTCAACTGCAGCAAGAGTGGGCAGACGCTCAACCAGATTTGTACCTCGGCATCATCCCACCCGACCTGCCAATCCAAAGCCACACACATGCCAACATAGTACAGGCATCGGGCGGGGGATGGCTAGTCTCCATCATCAACAACATGGGGGAGCAACCCACCACTGAGACCCTTGCGAGCGGCCTTCCGAGGATCGTTAGGGAAGGTCAAGAAGGCACAGCTGTGAGCGCACCCCCGCTAACCACGGGGATTGTGGCCATCTTCACACCGCTCAGTGAAACACACTGGGTGCTCGAGGTCACCGAAGCACCCACTCCAGGCAATCACATGCCCGGGACCATGTTACTCACGGTGGGCGACCGTCTGCTGTTTGAAGAGGTCGATAACGAATGGGTGATCAGAGTGGAGGCTCTGGCCACAGACCCACCAGCAGAAATCCGGCGACTCAGACAAGCCCCCACTCACCACAAGACAGACACGCAAAAGAAAGCAATCCCCAAGAATACCCCCAAGCCGCCAATGCAGACTATACAAGAGCAAGATGCAAGTGAAGCACAATCCATGGACACGGGAGCAAGCTCATCGCATGAAGCACCCCGGTCCTACTACCCACCGTCACGAAACAGCGCCACCACACAAGCCAACAGCCCTACCACTGTACCCACAAGCACCAACCCCACCAGCAAAGCTGCCACAGCCAACGCGCAACCGGCATTCGTCGACAAAAGACAGCTGCGCCGCAACCAACCAGACAGAGTCTCACCCCAACAAACTCACCCACCACCACAACCACAACCCATGCAGGACCGGAACAAGCCACCATACACGCCGCTTGCTGCGCTCTTCCACGATGGGCGGGACATTGGTCCCAAAAAGAGCAACGAGCCCAGGGCGCAACCTGAGGACCCAGACCAAAACAACGACAACGACGACCAAAGCAGTCTCATGCAAAAAAGCATCTTTTCAGGTTCGCTGCCGCCAGAGGAGAGACGCGAAGAAGCCAGTGAGGGGGATAGCCTTGTGACTATGCCGCAGCCACAGGCAACACAACCACAGCCAACCACACCAGGAGATGTCAGTATGGAAAACAGCAGTGAGACCAACAACCACGGCCAAGCACAAACAACAGTACACCACAACGACGGCCAGCAGCCCGCAGTTACAGCTCCACCCGCAGACCGAGAGCACTCCTGGCAGAGGGTTGAAAGACACCTGGAAGAAATACGTCGAATCATCCGGTCGTATGGAGGAGGAGCAGCAGAGGCCATCATGCAAAATGCCGACATGGCACTCATGCACCTACTCGTGGACACACCCACGGCAGAAGAACTCGCAGCAACCCAAGACTACCACTCAACAGTGACGGGGGGACACCCCCAACCACCCCCGCAAAGCAGCCACCAAGCAGCAAGACTTCCACACTCTGCCACTGCCGCAGCCCCGGGCTCACCTCGCACTGAAGCCGCCAAAGCAGTCAAAGCTCTGCTCAACATAGCACGTCAGCAGCTGTCTCTAGGGGGAACATGCATTAGCTATGGGCACCTCGAACCACACGTTGCTGCCCTGATGCAATGGTTCTCCGAGCTACCCATGGGGGATGTTGCGGTGCGGATCCAGCTGCCGCCCATCTTGGAGCCGCTGCGGAGGACGCTCAACAACATCCTCGACGGCAAGACGACAACAGAGGACTGGGCAAAGCTGATAGCAGTAATGGAAGCGCTCGACCTACTGCTACGGGGGAATGCCCTCACCCACCCCTCGAACGTCGTCGAGATGGCCGCGGGGAGCCACGAGTCGAACATGGTGGAGAGACCCCCTGGACTTGAAGCCTGGGAACACGCAGTCCGCCAGCTCCAAGAATGGTCTGGGGGGATCACCACGTGGCCCGTGGAACGCCTGCCGCAAGTGCAGGAAGCAGCAATGGCTTTCCTACGGGGGATTTCGCGGCAAATCCCCGAACAGAAACAAGGACTACCCGACACAGAAGACGCATGGTGGCGGTTCGACAGACACCATGGAATGGGGGATATGGCCCTCTACCACGGCTGGACTCCTGAGAGCGCGCCAAGCCCTCGGGGGAGAGGGACAGTAAGACCGCGAAGCCCGAGCCCGAGCTCCGACACAAGCCACCGTCGCCGGCGCATCCTGGGGGAGCACATCCACGAGAACTCCTGAGAGATGGCAGAAGTGACGGCCTGATGGCACGGGGGAGGTAGCTGGCTAATGTTGGAGTTGCATGGGGGGATCCGAGGCTCGTTTAGGGTCCAGGTTGTTTTGATGTGTTGGTCTAGGCTTGATTTGCTTGGAGCCCACCATGCCCACTCGCAACTCAAAGCCAATCACGAGGGGAGAATAACTCCGAAGGACCTCCAGAAG